CATCTTCTGCAGTAAAGCTCTAAAAGCACACATAAAATAGTTCAACTTAAAAATATACTTTACCTTACACCTCTTCCCTCCTGTCAGCTGATGAAAGTCACATCAACTGTTTGCACCTAGAAAGAAACCCACCAGCTGGAGCAGAATAAAAATAGCTACAAATTTTAGTTGTCTGTTAGCCTTTTGTCTCTGTGCCCAGGCCAGTCCTCCTGAGTTCTCTGAGTCCTCTGAGCTGAGAGGAGCTCAGTCAGAGTATCTGAAGGTGGATGTCCTGGTTTAGAGAAACATTTCATTTCTGTGTTGTTGGAACAGAGGAAGACAGAGCAGAGGATCATACATGTCCTCACTTGGCCTTTTCTCTACCTGCTGCACAGCTCTAAACAAATAGAGCTGTGTCAGCAAACACCGTGTGATTTCCCCTTGGATCATCACCTTCGGTGGCTGTAGACAACAATACAGAACAGGAAACAAAAGAACACAGTTGGAGGTGCAGCTGGGCCAAAGGAGCACAGATCCTCCCAGCCACAGACTCATCTGTACCCTGGAGAGGGATTACTCCCACCTAGGAGTTGTGCTCAAACCTCTAATTCCATACACAACTTCACAGCTGTGCCAGCTCTGCTTGTTTCCACTCCCAGAGATGAAAGAAAACTGACCACTAATTTTTGATGTCTGCTTTATGAAGTCAAGAAGTGATTAACAGACTTGCAACAGCATTACTACAGTGATAGAGCTGTCTTCATTAAAACCTCATACCACAGAGAGAAACCCTCTGCACATATTCAAGTAGAAAAGCCACCAAAGAAATGATTCAACATGTAAGGTACCAAGTGATCCAAGCACCAAATCACTGGCAGACCTTGAGAACACAGGTGTTAAACTCTCCATTCCTACCTCCAAGCAGGCACTTTCACAGAGCACATGCAGTAACAATCTGCTCATGCATTTGCCCGTATTTTCCATGATTCCCTGATTCTCCTGCTGCTCCAAGGGAGGACCCAAGGAGTCTTTTCACATCTCCATTCCTTATCTTCACACCTGTGTACTGCCAGTTCCTTTGTACATCATTGCCCATCCACTGAGGAGAGATATTGTAAAGAAACCAGGTATCATTATAAAAACCATGTTCATGGATGACTTAAAATTGTTCATTCCAGGAATCCCAAATCACCTTAAAAAGGAACATTTTGCAGAGAAACAGAACAACTGGTTAAGATATATCATGGCTGCTTTGTGCTGTGATGGGTAATGACTAATTAATACCAATAATGCTAAGTTTGAAGAATGCCTCAGCACTGGGTCAGAACTCTGGTAAGGCAATGTTTTATTGCAGCTCATTAAAGGATTAAAAAAAGCAATAAAAGGCTTAAGAACCATCACAGATCCTGACTATATGAAGCTAATAAACAGTATGATAAACTACCATTTACATGAATAAGAAAAGGAATGGACATTTCATTTCCTATGCCTTTGTTGCTTCCATTCAGTTGCACTGATGGGGCTATTTGGGGAAGACCCACAGAGCCTGTTTACAAGAGAACTTTGCAAAACAAAGACAGTCACGGTCAAAACTTTGCTGGTCAATTCAGTATATGTACATGGAAGAGCTGGGAAGAAAACAAGTATTCTGAAATAGGGATAGTTGAGTTGGAAGTGGTAACTAGCAGGGAAGGATCTCATGGCTATCTAGATGTGTGGTGGCCACAGAAAAAGCATCTAGTTTTCAAACAGAGATTTGATCAAACTTTCTTCATCCAGACAAAAATACCATTGCACAACTCCCTGAGCAAAATGGCAACTGCCAAAGTGTTCTGCATGAAGGGAGCAGCATTGCCCAGGCCTGGCTCTGAGAAATCAGGCACAAGGTCTTTGCTTTCCTTAAATGTGGAAAATGTACCATGCCAACCCTTGAAAATACATTTCAAATGCACATACACCATCTGAGCAGCTCCCAGAAACTATCCCATTTTCCTTCTTTCTTTTAACTAACAGAATGGAATTGCTCTGGGTTTACAATGAAGGCACCTAAAAGCACAAGTTGAAACCACTGTTTTTGAGAAGACCTCGCTATGCCATAACTTTTCACAGTTCAGTTGCTAAATTACACATTATAAAAATAAGTAAGTGCAATTGAGAGACTGTGTTAATCTCAGAAGTTTAAACACTGCTCTGTAATGACTGCTTTATAGTGGCCCATAGTAAAGTGCTTTATGGGGCGTGCAGGAGATTTGTCCGCACGCGTCCGTTAAACACTCCTGGGAATTTTCTCACACAGAGCCCAGGCCTGGCACAAAACTAAACATGGACAAAACACTGCCTCATTCACACGGCACCAGGAATGCCACCCAGTAAGAAAACACTTTACAACACCTAAGAGAGATAAGAACTACTAGCCAAGCCAGCACAGCAATAAGATGTTGCTTTTGAAAAAGCAGAATTTCCTAACCTGACAATCCATGCAGATTCTGGAAGCATGACAAAAACACAACTGTCCCCTAGCAAGGAGATGAGAGCTTAAGCATTGATTATGAAGAGATGATAAAGAAGAATGGGTGGTTTGTATAGTAGTTTACTAAAGCCAGGAGAATTTAGATCCAAATTAGGTTCTTGCACATAAAAATTCCCTGGAATTTAGGCTGAGTTCACATGTGATTACTCGCTCAGGCAGTCTGCAGCTGACAGACTGCACCCAACTGCCTTTTCTCTCTGGCCAAACAGGATCCATCCAGGTTGACTCCGATCCCAGGTGAAAGACTTTCCAATAAATTAAATATGATGGTAACAAAGTTGCAGACATGGTACCAGAGCTGTGTTTTGGTTTTATTTTTTTAATAATCATGCTTCAGAATAGCACCACAGCTAAGCAAGATGGGGTTCTCAGGGGTTCTGAAGGGACAAAACTTGATGTCCCCCTAGACAAGTATAAGCACACCCAGCAAGGCACTGCATGAAGATCCTTGTGAGAAAGCATTGCCTCCCTCAGCCCTAAAACACTCACAAGCACTGAAGTGAATTCTCCATCCTTCAGTGTTACCATTATTAGAGTATCATTCACCCACTTGTCTGCAAACTGCCTTCTTCTCCCACCAACTGCTCTGTCTCACAACAATACCTTGTTTCTGGCTCCGAAGACCAACAAAAAGCTCTCCCCTGAGCTTTGGCAGTGTCCCCATGATCACTTGGCAGGTGGCAGCATGACAATGATTTGACAGGCATCCCCCCACGGAGACTGCACGCATCAGTCACGCTGCTGACACACTCCACACCCGGAGGAGCTCATCCACACCAGGGCTGGTTTCTAGGTACAGGCAGCTGCTCTTGATGGACCATCCTAAAGCAGCAGGTTGTCCTGTTTCACTAACAGCAGAAACAGGAAGCCCCTCTTTGCTGTGATGGGGCTGGTGGCACTGCCACTCTGGCTTGTGCCAAGTCTGCCTGAGTAAAGCAAAGCAGCTTTGCTTTGAGTAGAGAGGACTGAAGTCCTATTTCTAGCCCAACAACAAATCTACTAAAAGGAAATAGCACTGCAAGAACAATCGCAAGTTATCTTTTTATGATGATCTTTTAATGATGTGCAAAAAGTCTTTTCAACAAAAAAAAAATTATTTCTCTTCTGATTTTGTTTTTTTATAGGAAACAAGAACCACAACGTTTTCAGAGGATGAGCTGTTGTCGGGTACCACCAAAAAATAGCCAACATTTACTGTGCAGAACACAAATCATCTTGATCTGAATACTCTGATTGTATGAACACTGACCCTCAGCAACTGTTGTTTAAAGGATGGTCAGAATTAATAGCTTAAATGAAGGAATAAACACACCTCTTCTTTTCCTACATGAGAAAAGCAGAGGTTTGCAAATCTCAATGAAACAATCTTAAATCTCCTGAATGACAATCACAAGCTCTGGCCAGCAACTCGTTTCTGAAGCTTGGCACGCTGGGATGCTCTGACAGATACAGGCAATGGGAAACTGCCTTTGACTGAGGCTCCTGCCATCTTTAAAGTATGTCCAAGGTTCCTGGCAGTTTAACTCTTCCTGAAGATAATAAATCCCTTGTGAGACAGAAAGGCTGAACAATCACATACTCAAGACTAGCTCAATCTGTATAGCTCCAAGAACAACTTCCAGTGCAGGTGATAACAAGCATATGATAGGTAAAGTTCCAGGAGGAACTCTGTTGAAAAAACAGAATTATGGGAAACAGACTGAACTGCTCATTTTATGGATATAGCTCTATTCCAGCACTCAGGCAGTAAAACTGAAATAAACTCCCTCAAAGTTAAAAATGCCCCATAGAACTCAGTGGCAAGGTAATTATTTTGACTTGACAGAGGGAGAGGACAGGTCACTTGTTCCCGCAGAGAATATCTCACCTTGCTGACATCAAATGGAAACACATATTTCAGTTTATCTGAATTTTTTTCCCAAAACTACATTTTCTGTGCTACAGATTTATAACCCTGGCTAAGCCTGTACCACTCTGGGCTAAATAAAAAACTTAAAGTTCATAAGAAATGTAGCAGCACATGCCCCAACAGCCTCTCTTGTGGTGTCACAGCTCCCCCCACGGGATCAGGCTGCTCAGCCACTCCACATTCCCAGCACTGACCCTCTGCCCACATCCCACTGATTAATGCAGGTTCCTCGGGATCCCAGCTGTGACATCGGCTGGATCAATACTTGTCCTGTGTGCAGGGATACAGTGAGTCAGGATGGCACCCATGGGATAAAGGCAACTTCTCTCTTTCCACCTTTCTCTTCGGAAAATGGAAGCAAACACCAGTCAGCAACTGGAGGCGTTACCTCCACCGTTAGAGAATAATTCCCTGATAGATGAACACCAGAATGACAGAGTCTGTATTGTGTGGGTGATAAAGGTGACATTTGCAGCACCAGCTGCATTTGTCCTTTCTCCCACCCCCTGGGTAAGGACCCACCTACTCTCATCCAACATAACACAGCTTTGGCACAAAAGCAAAACTGAAGACTCCAGCAGGAACATTAAGGATGTATTTATTGTCAAACAGTAGCACATCAAAATAAGCAGGCAAATGTCATAGTAACTAACAAAATACAGGGGAATGCCTTGTGAATTCACTGGATTTTAGTTTCTGGCATTTTTAGAAAATGTATTTTTTTATTTGGCTGACAGGAAACCACAAAGCACAACTGTCCTGTAATTAGAGCAATCAGACACATATGGGGACAATAATTATAGGCAAAATAAACTGGTTTTAAACAGATCTGTTTACTGTATTTCTAACCACCTCATACTTTTATTTTTCATTATTTGAGGGTTTGAGCTTTCCTTTTTTTCCTTATCTTGGCAGTCCCAAGATTTTTAGGTCTTGGTACTGTAGGAAGCAGTTTCTAAATGTTTATTATCTGGGCTGGCAACAGTGGTTTGTTCCACTGAGAGGATAAACAATCCACATCAACAAAGTTTGATGTTACAGAAAAATGACTTATGTTTCTCATAATTACTCAAATGGGGAAGCAAGTTTTTTCATGAAACAAATTATGAAATTGCTTGTTTGTTTAGTATTAGTCAAGCATACTCTTATTTCAGAGTCATTAAAATTACGCTGTTTTCTTCATTACAGCCAGTCAAACCATAAGATACAAAGCTTGAAGTTAACAGCATAAGTACAGCTCTTTGAAGAAAATGAAATTGCCCCACATCCCTAAAAAACAGTTTAGTTACTTCATAAAAGGCAATAGCATGGGATTAACCCATTGCTTGTGGATGAGCACTCCCGTGAAATTCTTCAACTGAACACATGAAAGTTTGAGGAAAACAAGAGAAATTTGTGTACCTTTAGGAGCAGAACACAGAAAACATCAAGGTGAGCTGTTCCAATTAAGCACCTTTATTGCAAACAAATGTTGGAAGACAATCTTAGTTCCTTGACTAAAATACATCTTTCTTCTTATTTACAGTCCCTGAGCCTTTTGCCACCAAGATGGGAAAGGTGCATTGAATGTACCTTCAAATAAGTCCTTCAAATTACATTCTGACAAAATACATCAGACTTAAGTGAACCATCTTCAAGGAACACGTTAGCTGGGTGATGTAATCAGCAATTAAAATTCCAAAGTTGCTAATATGCCTCCAGTAATTGTTTTCTACATTATATCCAAATAACTCCCTTTGTAACTGAATTTCTGCTAAAAAATTGCTGAAACACAACCCTTGGCTTTGCAAAGCACAGGTGGATTTCATTTGGGAATCCATACTGTCGTAAATTATTTTGTTCTCCCACGCAGCCAAACTAAGAAAAATGTGGACAATAGCAGTAAGTCACACCGAGAACATTGTCTTTTTCTAATCACCCAGTGACATAAATTTATTGTGTAATTCTACATTCACTTTGTCAGTAGAGAAGGTATTAGAACCACTACATCCTGGTTAAGTGTAGGGTTATTAATCCCATGAGGACAAAAGCAGTTATGACAAATGCATTTACTTTAGATAGCATTGGTTATACAGTCAAAGGACACACCAAAAATGACAATACACATCTGTAACTTGGAATGTGTGAGATGGCTTCCAGCAAGCTCTCACCGCCGACGCTCTTACTGAGAGATGCAATATCGTATCTTAGGTTTATTAGGATTGTGTTCAATTAGCCAGTCAGCAAGCCAAATCTGTGAACAAAAAAACAAAATCCAAACGTTTTCAGCTTTCTGTTGCTTTCTGTTAAGTTCATATGAGAATATTATAAAAGCATTATTATATATAAAAGCATTATTTGAAACCTCTGCTACAGATACTCTGCTACTACGCTGCAAAACGAAGCCCTTTCAGAAAGAAATGGACATGCAGATAACCTGTTTTTTAAAAATGTTCTGTTAAATCTTACAGCTTATACTGCTTTTGATCAATGCACAATGAGCTTTAGAAGACAACTTGTCCTGGCAATGTTTATCTTTGTGAAAGTATAAGACCATTTGAGCCATACTCCAAATAACTCAGCCAGCTCTGTTTTGGAATGCTGCTGCACAACATGCATGAAACTGCTTAATGAAATATTACTGCTGACAACACTTGGAGATAGTTCATCCAGTAATCATTCATTAAGAGTGCCAGCCTTCTGCACTGAAATCACCCTACAGTACCTAAAACAGTAAAACCCAAACATGGTTACTTTTGAAATTAATCTTTTAAGTTTTCCAGCATTTTGTACTTAAATGAGAATGTGGGAGAAGGAATGCCTTAAGTTCTAATTCCATCTGCCATTGCCTGGCCTTAGGCAAATTAACCTTTTGCCTCGATTTTTCCACTTGTAAAGCAAAGTTTTTAACACATCCTTATTTACTTCACAAGGCTGTTGAGCACTGGTTTCTGGAATGCTGAGAACAACAAACGTCATACCACACTGTGAAGAGCTGACAGAACAGCAGACAGGGAAGGTAAGCAACACTCTGCTTTTACTACCACCTATAAAAGGTTTGCAAAGGGAGAACCAAGCAGAGCACTAGGACAGGTAAAGCAATAACAGCATAGTAGTAAGAACCCAAGACAGAAATGGAAAACAAACAAACAAAATATCTCAAAACACCAAACCCCTTAGGAAAATTACTTTAGAAAAAATCAAATAAAATCATTTGAACCAAATAAATTTATCCTGTATTGCTTAAGGAACTGGCTGAGACAACCTCTGTGCTGGGAGCAAGTATTTCTGAGTGCACACCCTGTGCTGACAGCAAGTATGTCTGAGACACTTTCTGATGCCATCTGCAAAAGGAGAGGAAAGAAGAAAAGGATACTGGAAAAAAAATCATTCCAACAGTCTCCCTGTAAGACACCTAGCAGAAAACAAACTGAAAAACAATAGGCAATATCTATTTCTGAAGCAGTATCAAGTCAACACTATTTTCCTTCTGACATTATGGACAACAAAGAAGGTGCAAACAGAATGTTTTTAGCAAAGCTACTGACACTGTTTCATACAACTTTCTTACAAGCAAGGAAAGCATTGTCTCAAAGACGTTACTGATACCTCATAATTGACTAGAAAATTGTGCTAAGAATGCAGATTAACTGGAAGCCAAAACAAAGAGTTAGAAAGATGGGACATGCAAATAAAAACCCTCAGTATTTAATATAGTAAAGAGAAGATTGAAGGGAAAGAAAATGCAAATATGCAATAGGTTGCTGCAAAAAAAATAAAAATACATTGTCTCCAATGTCTTTTGGGGATAGTAAAAGGAGAAAAAAAAGGTAATGGGCTTAAAATTGGAGCCAGGAGATTTAGGCTATCTTTTAGTGAAAGCTTTTAACAAGTATAATTAAGCACTGAAACAGACTGCCAAGGGAGACTGTAGATTCTCCATCATTTGGAGTGCTAAACTACAGGCCAGACACACATTTGTCAGGAATAGATACAATTGGTTTGGCCTTTGGGCAAAGGAATGGACTTCATCTGTTTCCTAGATTTCTATGGTAACAGTGCCAGACATACAGATAAAGTAAACAAGTTACAAAGCTGGAACAATCAAAATACATTAAACGTGGCCTCATGTATATCACATAGTTCATAGGAACACCTCAAGTGATTATTAAGGCACTTTTTTTTTTCTGAAAAGTATCCTTTAGAAAAATGCAATGTTGATTATAAATGTAGTTAGTAATGATGTAAAATCCACAACTGTGAGCAACTTGCACAGATTAATTATCTGCATGCTTAAATAAATACTGGTGTAAATGACTGGAACTTTAAGAACACAAAGATACATCAATCACGTTTTTCCAGATGTAAGAAAACTGATTTTGTTTAGGCACTTACACCTTTGTGTCATCTCTAACAAACAAATCAACTTGTTGATAACAAATGTTACAGTAGCGCATCAGCTGACAACTAAAACAGCGCAGGCACTTCACTAACAGCAAGTGACAGCACCCCAGAGCTGCCAGAGTGCTGGACACTGCACGTACCATGGGGTCTGCTGGCTTCTCTTTGCACAGGGCAGTGAGCCCTGCCAGCAGCGTGGGCTTCACATACAGGTTCAGGTAATCCCGAGCTCTTTGCCCAGTGGGAACTGGCTCCAAGATTGCTGCAAGGAGGAACCACAGGTATTAGAAAGCAGCCTCTAGAGTGATTAAACCCAACATTCTTTCTAAGGTTGTTTATATATGAGCTGCTCTTTTCCTTAGTAAGTTAATAATACATCGTGGGTTTTACAGCTTCTCCCACAACAAACTGCAAAGAAACTCCCTAAACTTCCTTACTATGTCCCTGAGGTAATTTCACTGATGATACCGTAAAGGTGCATTTGGGGCAGAAGAGAAACAGTATATCCCATGTTTAGCACTTTCTTCTTCCAGCTGATTTCTGAAGACCCTAAAAATCTCACCTTTAGTCTTGCTCTGTTTGCACGGTGAGAAGAAACATGGTTAATACAATGGGTAAGATTTATAAGGAACTGCAACATCTTTTATTAAACGCACTGATACAGCTGACAAAAAGTATCAGGAGACAAATTTTTCTAGCAGTTTCACTTGCATCTTTCTGTCAAAGAGCAAATCCTGCTACATTACAAATCAGAGATCCTCTTGCAGCTTTTCCAGGTTCTAAGGCCCTTTTCTCGGGCACTTAACTTTGGAATTACACTGTCATGTGAGCATCCAGCTGCTTTTGAATAGTAATTACTCAGCCTGAATCCAAGAAAAGTCTTCTCAAGTCAACCAAGGCTGACTGTGCCAGAAACACTTGCTGGAGTGTAATAGCTTCCTATTTCTTCTCCTTTACCAGCCTTGACTGCTCCAGCTCCCAGAGCAGAGTCTGAAAAGTGGAAGCAATCTCTGCAAATGCACTGGTTCTTCAGACAGATTTTTGTTAAGCCTTTCACAGCAGAAAATGTCAGCTTATACATAAAGAGACCCACAATCCTGTAAAGCAAACAAACCCAACCTCTCCTAAATCAGTTGTATCTGGAGTCAGGGCAGGACAGGGAAGAACTCCATCCTCCCCAGGACTGGTAGTGAGCCAACTGTACCATTCTACCTTCTGGAAAGATGAATCGAATTTCCTTCTCTGCTGAGGAGATGCTGAGACTGCCGTGGAGCCCATTCCTCAGCTCATCAGTCCCATAGCGTGCTCTTAAGCTGAAAACAAGGGAAATAACTGCTTGGAGGGCAACTGCAAATCCCTTCCAAGTCTCTGCAAACTGAGAGCACAGAAGAGCAATAGATATGGACTAATTAACAAGACATTGGCTTGTTTTTGTTTTAAACATAAGAAGTAGCTACATAAAACTTAATGTTCATACACTCAGTATTCCCCATAAAATAGGTGACCTTTATAGACTAAAAAACAATGGTGAAAAGCTGTTGCACAAAACTGAAGAGGTAAGAAGCCTGTGTCTGCACTGTACAAACAAACAAATTAAAAAAAAAAAAAAAAAAAAAAAAAGAGGAATTCTGGTCTCAATCAAAAGAATGGCAAAATCCTACTGATTTTCCCAAGGCCAGTTCAGTGAGTTACCTGTGAGGGTGAGTTATCCTAGCTCTTAGGCTGTTGGATGGTCCCAGCAATTCCTTCCAGTATGAGACTGCACAATGTCTAGCAAGAACCATAGCAGCTATAGGACCAGAACTCATATAGGCTGTTAAATTAGGAAAAAACACTTTCCCAAACTGTTCTGCGTAGAAGTTGCTACATTGCTCTGGGCTTAACTGGAGCTTCCGTTTCTATAAAATGTAGAAGACAAAAAAAAATAATTAAACTTGCTTGCTACATTGAAACAGGTTAGAGCATTAAAAGCAGGATAGAGTCCTCTCCTGCAGTTGTATCTTCAAGTGCAGAACACAGAGTAGCTTGTGGAATTCCTCTGATTCACTCAGATGAGATCCTCTTCTAGATAGAGAGTAACAAAGAGCAAAAGTTTTCCAAGTTAATTAAGAAAACAGCCCATTTGAGTAAGATGTGATTTTAGCCCAGGCAAACTACAGCAACTTCTAACTGCCAGATGACAGAGCAAAAAGTGAAGAGCATTACAAGGGCAGCATTTTATTACTCAGCTGCTACAGCATAATGTTCTACTTTTAAACAAGTTTCTCTCCAGCCCACACTGTTAATTACGCAATTGTTCTATTTTTCCTTCAGTGCTTTGTGACTCTCCCAATAGCTGCCTAGCCTGCAGGTGGCCAGGATCAGGACAACTTTGGGAAGTTATCAGAAACCACAGTCAAGAAAAAAAATTTAAAGTGCATTCTTCGAGCTCAAACTTGTATAACACGAGAGTTCCATATACTCAGAGTCCTGATAACTTTGCTGTCAAAAGTCACTGCAGACATCAGTAGACTCTACTAACATACTGCAATTAATTAAATAAATAATCTATTTTGCTTCATCTGCTGATACGTATTGAATCAAGAGAGACATGGAATGGTTCACATTGAATGGTGTCTTAAAAATCATCTTGTTTCAAACCCTTTACCACAGACTGGGACACCTTCCACTAGACCAGGTTGCTCAAACCCCAAACCTGGCCTTGAGCACTTCCAGGGATGGGGCTGCCACAGCTGCTCTGAGCAGTCTGTGCCAGGGCCTCACCACCCTCATGGGGAAATTTCTTCCCAAAATCCCATCTAAGCCTGCCCTCTGGCAGTAGGAAGCCATTCTCCCTTGCCCAGCCACTCTATGGCCTTGTCCAAAGTTTCCGTCCAGTTCTCTGGAACCCCTTCAGGCACTGGAAGGGGCTCTCAGGTCTCACTGGTGCCTTTTCTTCTACACGATGAACAAATGCAGCTCTCCCAGCCTGCCTCCGGAGCAGGGGGGCTCCAGCCCAGGGAGCATCCTCATGACCGCTTCTGGAGTAGCTCCAAGAGATTAATAAATAAATAAATAAATACAAATAAATAAAACAACCGGAAAGGTTAGGGAGGAAATGAAAAACACAAAACAAAACATTGCGGGGAGGAGAGGGAGGGGCCCCTGCCGCCCACAGCGCGAGGGCGCAGCGCCCCCCAGCGGCCGCCCGGCAGCGCGATTTAAATATTCATAAGATCATTTAAATAATCATAATTATATTTACTTTAAAAACATCAGAAACAAAAAATTAATTAGGCTGCAACTGGCCAGCTATTCGAATTCAATTAATTCTCTAATATCCACTTGCACACTGCACAAAATCTTGTTAGATCTGAATGACACACTCTCCAAAGAGTTGCCTTGGAAAGTTCACACATCTGCTCGATACATTTGCTAAATCTGAGTTTATTAATAAAGTCCGTGTTTTCCTGTGGTCAGCAAATAGTTGGTCAGCTCTGTTCCATCCCATGCACTAAAAAGCATCTCCTTACAGAATCTGGCAGCTATGTTAAATGACATGAAGAACATGAATCAATTTTTTGACACACAAGCTTTTAGTTACTGGCTTGATTGATAGAAGTTAAATATTTTCCTGACTTATAAACTACAGATATTTTCTCTGGAGCACAGCCTGTTACCTGAATGATGTGGAATCCTGATAGGAGAATGAGATCTTCTATTTCTTCTTCTTTATCAATGACATCTGGTTTGATGATAGCCAGAGTTCTTTCCACATAAATCTGAGGTTCAGGCATTAACACCTCCATCCTGGCTGCTAAACTATCATTCACTTGCCCCTTTCGAACTGCAATGACACCAGTACATGACATTTGGAATATGTCTACTGCACAGTCACCTACAGTGACACTCACCATGTAACCCCAGGAACAGAGAGGGTCACACCCACCTCAAAAAACCAGTGTTCTCTGCACTTGTTAGCACTCTGTAGTTCACATTCCCATTTTCAGTGCAGTGGCATTATGTGGAAAATAAGGCCAAAATTTAATGTTGTTATTCACTAAGTTGGATAACGTATGTGGAGAGAAAGGCATTATCACCCATCCTGATGTGGGCTCCCTGTGTTCCCCCACCCACCATCCACCATCCACCATGGGTCCCTTCACACCCCAAATCTGTATCCTCATACAAGGACTGTGGGTGGGACTAATGACTTGGAGCTGTTCCACCGTAAGCCTCAGGGTAATTTCTCAATGGTTATTTAATTCCTATATATATGGGTTCCAGACAACATGCCAGTTTCCTGACTGAGCAGATGCACTGGTAAGCTGAAAGCACAGAATTGTGTTTTGAGTGGTGGAACCAGTGAGGGCGTTTCTGACAGACCTGTGTCCATTTGTAACCTTTTCATCACTGAATAGATTGGGTCTAGAGGGACCCTAAAGACCATGTCCATCCTGCCATGGCCAGGGACACTTTCCACTATGCCAGGCTGCTCCAAGCCCCATCCAACCTGGCCTTGAACACTTCCAGGGATCCAGGGACAGGCACAGCCTCACTGGACAGCTTGTGCCAGCCTCTCACCACCCTCACAGCCAAGAATTGCCTCCCATAGCATCCCATCTAACCCTGCCCTTTGCTGTTCCTGCCTCTCCCTGTCCTTGTCTCAAGTCCCTCTCCATCTCTTTTGGAGCCCCTTTAGGCACTGGGAGGGGGTCGAAGGTCTCCATGGAACCTTCTCTTCTCCAGGCTAAACACCCTCAGCTCTCGCAACCTTTTAGAGAGAACTGCGAGCGCAGGCTGCTGCGGCGATGCTGACGGAGCCTGAGAGCGGCACGCAATGGCACCTGCGGCCCTTCCCTCGCCCGCTGCCCGCCCCGTCCCCACGCTCCCAGCCCCGGCTCCCTCCATCCGCCCTGCACCAGACCCAGACACGCACAGCCTTCCTGGCTGCAAAAACCTGCTCCCCGCTGCAAAGGCGGCTTGCAGGCAGCCCCCCAACTCCACCTGCCTTGGGGCCCGGCCAGGCCTGGCTATGCCGGGCTCCGGGGCTCCGCCAGCCGCCGCCGTTGCCGGGCGATGGCGGGGCCGGCCCCGGGCACAAGATGGCGCCCGCGGGCCTCGGCGGGGCGGGACGAAGATGGCGGCCGGGAGCGGCGCGGTGATGGCGGCGGAGGCGGAGCGGGGCTCACGGCCCGGCACCGCCGCGGGCACCGCGCACACAACGGAGAGACACCGCGGCTACCCCGGGATGGGCTCTGCGTGAGGTGCGGGAGTAAAGGGCGGAATGGCGTGATCTCAAAAATCTCATTCCTCCCTGCCAATAAAAGCTTTATGTCGGTTTCGCCTCACGCTCAGGGCTGCTGAGGGAGCCACGCGCTCACAGCAAACGCATGAAGCGACGTAGCGCGATTTATTGGCGGGTAAAAAAAGAAAGGAAAAGACATCAGGCGTTCCAGGTCATTTATCAGCGTGTGTGGGGGGGTTTCCTGTGGGCGCGCCTCAGCAGCGGCGGCGGGCGGGAGCTCCCAGCACTGCCCCCAATTCTAATGCTAAAGCTCTCTAATGGTGCTTCTCGGCGCTGCGAGGCAATTGCAGCGGCTGCCGGTGCTTCTCCACGTTTCAGACATAAAGGTGTAACGAATAGGAAACCTTCACCGTTCTGTGCACTTAACCACACCAGCTGGGCATTCAGCAGAGCTGGGGAGCCGCAATCTCTGGGGATTTCCCCGCGATTTTACCCCCGTGGTGCCAGTGCGTTTGCTCCCCGCGCATCCCCTATTTTCCCGGCTCTCGCAGGAACCGGCTGCCCAGCAGCCCCTGCCCGCCCAGCGTGAGCCCAGCGGCCGGGCAGCCGGGGCGCGGGGCCCCGGGGCACTCCCGTCCTTGTTTACCGGCGCTCCGGTGGAGCCGGGCCAGCTGGCCCCGCGCTATCGGGGCGTGGGCCGGCAGCGGCCCCGATAACCCGGCCCGGCTCCGCCGCCCTGCTCCTCGCTCTGCCTGCGCCGCGTCCCCTCTCCTCACTGCTCTCATACAACTCTGGGATAGAGGTGCTGGAACACCTGGGGCTCGCGGCTGAGTTCAGCCAAAACTGGACATCGCACTAAAAATACCCTTCAGGTGACACTGACAAAGGGATAGAGAGAAAACACAGGGGTACAGGCTTTAAGTTTTAATGGTATCAGACTGAAAGTAGAAGCAAAGGAAAAAAGACAAAAAATCCCCTAGGATTTAGAGCTGGAGGTGCTGACACTGTGTGCCATGGTTAGGTGAGGAAATAGCAAATTTACAGCAAAAGCTGGTTTTAGTGTAAGAAAAACCCATTTTTGCCTTAATCTTTTTCATGAGTAATGTGAATAATATAAATATAGAAACAAGAAATAAATATATGCAGGTATTTCCTTGCAACCAACTTGAAATATATTTAAAAACCAAAAACTGACATTGTTATTCATAACCTTAAAAAATAAAGATTCCAAGTGCACAAGACAAATTCAGATACAGGCTTTCCTTCACCAGAATGGGCACATGGCATTTGTTTCTTTAACCTTATCCAATATTTCATTTGAAGGCATTGTAAACACTGCAACTTCACAGAGATAATGGATAAACATGTTTTATTTTTTAAGAAATGCTGATAGAAAGAGTCCACCAGTTTTTTAGTTCAGAGTTAATTCAGGAAGTCATATCTTTTCAAAGTCAATGAGCACAAGTCTGACAGCCCTTGCTTAAATTTAGCAGTTCAAAGGGTTCCTCTGCCCGCATGAACACTTCAGAATTATTATTACATAAGTAATGTTGAATTTAATATCCGTGTTTCACTGTTAACATGAATCTCTTGCAGTTTATTGTGTGCATTTTTTTTCCAGCCCCCCAAAGCACCTTGCAGTGCAGCCCGAGGCTGCAGTTTGGGAGCAGGGCCCTGCACAGCTCCCTGCCACCGCAGCTCCTCGGGCTGTGGCACAATTCCTGCGCTCGCTGTTTCCAGAAGCATTTCTGGAGGGCGGAGATGGTCTAATTTTAGTGCGGGGAGAATCCTCCTCTCTCCAATGAGCAAGCGGCTGCATCTGGAGCTGCAGCCAATTGCCCGGGTTTCCTCCTGCTGCACTTCCCACGATGGTTTAATAATGCAGAAGCACAAATTTAAAGTGGCCCCACACGTTAAGAGAAAATAACATTATGTGCTCCCTAAAGCCGTTCAACAGTAGTAGAATCTCAAAGGTTTATTCTAAAGCCTTGGATTGCATAAACCTGACCTTAAAACAATGTGTTATTATCATTGTGTTTATTGTTTTTACAGAGCTTGAAATAATATTTCCAATAACTAAAATGCTGGTCTGAAGCATCTTCTGTAACTTCTGTAGGCCAGGGATGTGCTTTTAGGAAAAGAAACAAAACAAAAAATGATTATTACAATGCAATGAACCACCGTGTTCTGAACACTTCTCAGGGCATAGCCTGGCTGCTGTATCTTATCTGTTAAGCGGTTTAACAAGCCTTAGTTGTCTCACTTATTTTTAGCGGGTATGGAATATACCACCTAAAGACTGTGGCTGCAGGTGCATTTACATCCCACCAACTGCAGATAAGTAACATTTTAAGGAAAAATATTATTTCAGAGCTTTGTCCTCTGGTAGTGCAAGAAGGTGCAAAAGCTAATATCTTGCAGACTGTTAAAAAGGAAGGAAAGAAATACAGAATGAAAAAAGTGAAGAAAAGCTAAAGAATACCAACTAGTAAAACTGATTAAAAATGAAGCTTGCACATCTTTTAGCTTTGTTTGCATTTTGATGTTAAGTAGAGAAAAATGTGTTTGCCCTAGTAGCAATGTTCTAAGTATACACTTAGCACATATATAACTTTCACCCACCATGGCCTCTCTTTCCTTTATTTCTTTTCATGATGAACTGTCATACCTACCCACAGCACCAGCTTACCTTCACTGCTTGCTCCACCCATGCGTGCTCTTGCAGTGCAGAGTGACGGAAATCCTGTGATCAAGGCAACTTCCTCTCCCACATGCCTGCTCTCTCCTCCATTTCTGCCTTCTCACAACTAAACAATTCTCCTTCTGCAGCTCATCTGAATGCTTGTAATCCCAGTCAGCTTTTCATTGCTGCTGCTTAACCCTTGTCAAGCCTTCCTGTCTGTTTTCCTCTACTTGTTATCTCACCATTTTCTGTAAAGATAAAAGTGATAAAATATTCTCTTCATGCTTCCTCTGTCTACAAGTCTCTAAGTGGCAGTAACAAAAAGCTTATCAACATGTCTTCTGTAACTCCATCACTTGCCCTGATAACTTCACCCCATTTTGTTTCCTGATCTTCCCAACACTCGCTCCTTCGTTTGTTCACAGCTTTAGTCACTTAGTCTGCTCTGATTCCTAGCACCCACAGAGATTGGTTTGTCTCTTTGACCATTTAAAAAAAAAAAAAAAAAAAAAAGTGCCTTTGGAATAAGTGCCTCTTTTCACCTCACAGGTTCTTCCAGTCACGTCTCTTTGTCTCTTGTTGGGATCTACCCTAAATCCCCTTCAAACTTGGTTTTGCTTCCTCTTATCTGAAAGTTTCTCTGTCCATCTTAAACCAATCTCTTGTTGGCCCTTCAGTCACATTTAGCATATCTAGCTCATGTCTCAGCTTAGTTTTTGCGGTTTTTCTCACTTTTCACTTCTGCAGTTCTGCAGTCACTGTTTCATCTTGGCTTGTCAGCCCCTTCTTCCCTTGTGTTTCTTTCATTTTTCTGCAGGAGCACTGGTGAGCACTGTCCTTCACTCCTCTCCCTTCCCTCCATTCTCACAGCTCAACATCCCCATGCTCCTTTTGTTTCTCGGTGAAGAAATCTCCTGTTTCCTGACAGGCTACAACTGAATCCCTCTACTGCCCTTGCAGATAAACACCTTCCTGCTTTATCCCACCTTGTTGCTCAGGATGAGCTCCTGTTGAACACATGTAGAGGTTGGAGCTGACAACTAATTTCCTTCTCATCTATATAAAGACATCCTATATAAATACTGCATATAGATATCAGGCTTTCACCTAAACTTTGGAGCAGAAACACTTGCATGTGTTTGCTGCTTCATTGTTCTAGACAATGTTTAACATAATGCTTCCTTGGATTATCCCTGAGGCCACCAAGCTCAGAGATAAGTAGTCACTGTGATCCTACCACAGTGAAGAATGTATGAATAAACCAATAAAAATCTTTTATCTAACAAATTAAAAGAGGCAATTGGTTAAATAAGGCATTTTTAAAGATATATTGTCATGACTACTTAAAGACATCTTCTATTCACCTTAATTCCATGTAGCATAAAGAATCCTTTTTGCCATACTTCTTTTGAGCTATTACATTCAGTCCCATGATTAAAATATATGGGATTAATTGCATAGTTGTTATTATTATTAATAAAATGTATTTACTTATGCTGTGCATAAAGACTAACTCAAACAAAAGTTTCCTATAACGTGGTATTTGGTATAGATAAGGCAGTCTGTGACTTGAGATGCTTACAATCAACTTAGACAAGACAGGCATAGGATATGGGAAATAGAGAAATTACACCAAGTTTTAAGAGAGTGGATTATGGTTTTTTTTTTTTTTTTTTAGAAGTGAAGATAGAAAAATCAACAGACGGGAAATAATGAGGAAATGGAGGGTAACCAAGAAAAAGAAGGCGGTAATAAATACAGGTATGTGACAAAACTCCTATGAACAGACAGCAAGGGCAGGGCTTGGCATAAACTGCAAGTTTGATAGAACAGCAGAATTAGACCCAACATGAGAAGCCCCATATGCAAGTAAAATTCAGTGGAATTTCAGTCAACACCATGAGTAAACATAGCAATTACAGTACTAAAAAATGGCAATGATAGTTTGTTTGTTTTTTTTTTCTCAGCACTAAATGTGTCATATAGGCAGAATTGCCTCCCAAGAAGGTATGTGTGTACTTTTCTTTGATTAACCACAGGCTTTGAGTAGGGAGTGAAAAGCAAGACCAAAACCAAAGTCACAGCCCAGAGAAATTCTTTAACATTACCTGTGGCATGATGGGGCCTGGTGAGACAAAAAATAATCACAATGACCCATATTCTCAAATTTCTCAGTCCTTGATGTCTAGATGTGTAAAGAATGACTTTGTTAGTTGGGCCAGTCACAGTTCTCAAACCAGACTCCTTAGCCAGTCTACAGCCACATGGTTATCCTGCTCTTGGATACAAAAGGTTTAATCAAACAGCCATTAACATGGGACAACTGGGAATCACAGAGAGCCCTGCCAGCTGGGGCCTGCTGCTTGGAATTGCCAGGGTGGGAGATTGAGAGGGACTGACCAGGAGAAATGGGCAGCTGGAAATGAGCATGGCTTCAAAGAAAGCACTGTTAGTCAGAAACAGGAAAACACTTGACAAAGTGCCAGAGGTAGGGAAGGAGGAGACAGGTTCAGCAAAGCAAAAAACAGAACGGGAGAAATAAAAAGAGAAGAGAAAGGAAAGGGAAATGTATGTAGAAGTGCTAATGAGATGACATTCACGTTCTTAGCAAGACTCCATGAAAAGCAGATGTTATGGGCAGTGAATCTTGCAAAAAAATGAAGTTATAAATATATAATCCAGAGCATTCAGGTTACATCCATCAGCTGAGCCTGACAGACCCATGCAAATTGCTGCAAATTTCATTTTACTCTCAGGTTCTGCTCTGTAAACTTGTAACTTCAGCACAGATCTATTTCCGCAATCACCTGCCACAGCTGCACACACAAAAGGCTGCAAAAACAAGGTGGACAGGGAAACTAGGGCAGTGGCATTCACCACTTCAGCCATGCAAGCCTCAGCATGGCCTTGCCTCCCTGTGACTTAAACAAAGGTGTGGTATTTTCCCACTAGGCTATCAGTAAGGGAATGACTTAGCTGACAGACAGATGGTTGTATCACAAACCACATCTTTTTGGTACAGACCAGAGAGGTTTAAAATCTAAGCCAAAGCTGCTTGAAAAATCACAAGAAGTCCCTTTGCTGGATGTGGGGTAAGCTCCTCTGACATGGTATAAATTATGATATCTTATAAAAAATAATTTGCTTCTAACATTCTATTAAAAGTTCAATACAATAAAACAATATAAAAATGTATTCTCATAAAGACGAACATCTCTATCAGCCAACATCTACAAGCTGTCCTGAGGACATTACAACTTTCAAGCCTTGCTGTCTCTACTATCTTTACTGCCCTGACTTCATAGAACGTTTTTCTTAAGAAGTTCAGCCTAAAATTGTGGTTGAGAGTTTGTGTATAGCATACCCTCCCCTGTCAGTAGCCTGTGCTGAGACAGGCATCCCTAAGGATGAATTCTGATCTACTGTATTTAGGATAAAAACAGTTCTAAAAGCAGCTCAGTTGAAGGACAGTTCATTATCCAGACCAGGTAATTTAAAATGTTTCTCCACTGTTTCTAGTCACAAGTGGCTGTGGGCACTCCTGAGTATTAACAGCAGATTAAAGTTGAACCACAAGCGGTATTTGACAGAGGGTGGAGCATTAACGTGCGCACTCATTACTGCAGTGAGTTAGGTAATAATTGTTACTTTTTGCCCACAAGCAAAGGGCTTAACTTTCAGTTTTATTTAGAGATGTGTAAACTTTACGTGTAATCTAGAAGGCAAAACCTGCCCCTTTGGCATGGACAAATAGGACATTAGGAGCTGTACACCGTACAACTGGTTACAGGGAGCAGTTCTCTTCTGGGCTCCTCACCCACAACTTCGCCAGCCAGGCTGACATATCCTTGGGCAAAAGGAATTAAGGCCCGGGCACGTGCTCGGCGCTCCAGCCCCGAGTTATGTAATATCCAAATCTAAGTTTTAAAACAACAAACTCTGGCCCCTGTCGGTTGCAAAACCAGCAGAGCTGGAAACATTAAGCAAACCTCTGGTCCTGGAGTAACTGACTCAGCGCCCGCAGCGCACCTCGAGCTGAACCGGGGCGGCGCTCCCGGGCGGGACCGAGCCACAGACCGCGCTGGGAGCGGAGCGCGGCCCGATCCCGATCCCGATCCCGATCCCGATCCCGGCCCCGATCCCGGCCCCGATCCCGGCCCCGGCCCCGTTCCCGTTCCCGCTGCCGATCCCGCCCGGCCCCGCCGGCAGCTCCCGGTCCCGCCTCGCCCGCCTCTCCCCGCGTGGCCCCGCCCACCCCGGCAGGGCAGCCAACAGCGAGAGCAGACTCTCCTGAGTGACAGGCGGCGCCGCCCAACCAGGACGCGGCTTGTTGCGGTGTGGCGCAGGCTCCGGCGGTATAAAGGCGGCCACGCGTCGCGGGCGCGGGCCCGAGTACGTGTCTGAGGGGGAGGCGGCGGTGGCGGTGCGGCCGGTGCGGAGCAGCCGCGGGGAGCGGGATCGGCTCCAGCACTAGTGCCGGGGCGGTTTTAATTAGACTTCGGTCAGCCCGGGTTTTATCGGGAGCGGATTTTAAAAGTGAGTACGAGCGGGATGGCGGCGGGAAGGGGGAGGGGTGTGAGCGGACCGGATCAGACCGGCCCGGCCGGGGAGGAGCCGCCGCGCTGACCCGCGCTCGTCTCTCGCAGGCGCTTCTCGTCCCTCTGCCTCTGCGGACGGGGCACCATGTCGGAAGCGGAGCAGCAGCTGGCGGCCGGCGCCACCCAGAACGGGCACGAAGCGGCCGAGAGCGCTGGGGAGCAGCAGGCCGAGAGCGGCGGGGCCGCTGCGGCGGCGGGAGCGGCAGGAGCAGCGGGAGCGGCGGCGGGAGCCGGCCCAGCGGCGGGAACAGCGGGCACGGCCGCCAGCCAGAATGGGGCCGAGGGCGACCAGATCAACGCCAGCAAGAACGAGGAGGACGCGGGGTAAGCGCGGGCGCCATGTGCGCAGCGCCGGGCCCGGCGCGGCCCTGCGGCGGCGGCAGCGCCCCCGGCCCCGCTCGGGCCGGCGGGGAGGGCGGCGGGAGCAGCCCCGCCGAGCCGGGGCCCTGCAGCACCAGCGCTTCCTTTGTTCTGGCGCTGCCTTTTGTTGGCGCCATGTGGCGGCTGGGGGAGGGGCGCCGAGCGGGGCTGTTGCCGTCTCACGCTGCAAAATGGAAGGGGATTTACCTCTCCCGCGTTTTCTTCATCCTTTCCCTCTTCAGCGAAAGGGGCGGATGGAAGGAGTTGCTTTCTGTTGGGGGAGGGGGGGGCTGGCTGAAACTTTGTGGGGATCGCATGGCCCATCGCCGCTGGCGTCGATGTAAATGTGAATGTTTTGTGTAAAGCACATAAAAAATAATCCTGGCCTTGGAAGGCAATGGGGGTAACCCAAGTGTTTTTTAAGGGAAGTAAAGAGAAAATTAGCACGATTGAGATAATGCGCGGTGTGTTTAAATCGGTAAGAGCTATTTTGGTGTGCTACTTTGCAGCATTGTCAGAAAATGCCTTGAGTCTTGCAAGGGATTTCTGGCGCGTTCGGTGTAGTTTCGCTGTGCTTTGGTAGTGGAATCCTTGTGTATACAAGAGGAATTTCTTTCCTATCATAGTTGGTCTGTTCATAAACACACGAAGATTACGTGCCTATTTCTCAAGCAGGTCTTTGTTATTAGGCTACCCCATGTATTTAATTGGAACTCCCTTTGTTACCGCTGAGCTCTGAACCAGAGGGTCAAATCCCTTAGGTTAAACAGCGAGCTGAAGCCAGGGTAATAGATTCTTGACTATAAAGGAACGAGTAACACTTGCACAAGCTTCCCACGAGCTGGAGCCGGATGTACTCTTTGCAGACACTAGAAGGCTTGTGAACCAGGCCTTTTAGCTCTGTACGAATTTTTCTTTACTGTTTTCTAGTATTTTATGCTGAAGAAAGGTTTGATAGTATTTTCCTTTCATGAACAGGAGGTGACAAGCTTCAAACCCAAAACGGTATGAAATGAAACTTCTTAGAAAAGCACTTATTCAGAGGGATTGACATAATGTGAAGAATGTAGTGCTGTCCAGGGCACTGATTTTACAGTGTTTTATTAGGAGCTAAAATAAGCTTCAATTTAGCTGCACAAATACACTCAAGAGGGAAGAATGACTGCGTGTTAAGGGTGCAGTTGTCCCGTTTATGTGGCCTCTGAAGAAAAATTTTTGTCTTAGTTTCACAGGTTCAAAAGTTTTAAATATTGTGTTATTTAAATTAGGTATCAGTTTTTCCAGTTAAAAAACAGAGCACTGCAAGTTGTGAAGTGTGTTGTGGTTCGAGGTGAGTTTGGCATGTGGCAATGCCGTAAAGCGGCCAAAGCTGCCTCCAGACAAATTCCTGTCATCCCCCCAGTCTCTTGATCGATCTCTTGTGTGGTCAGCGATGACAGGGTGTGCTGTGGAAAGCCTGGCAGGTTAGAGCAGCCACAGTCAGCTGCTGGGATGGGACGGAATCCCCCAAGCCCCTTTCTTTGACCTATTATTGAAAAGCTGAATAAATTTGGATCCTCCAAGGCTCTGCTGTAATGGCTGCAGGAAGCACCCCCGCTGTATTTGGACCCGGTGCTTCCTGCTGCACTCATCAAGAGTGCACAGCGTGGTCTGCTGAAAAAACTTAACTTCAGCTGATAAAAGGGTATGTTTTCACCCAGTTCAGGAAAAAAGGCAAAACCCACATAATGTCCCCCCCCCCCCCAATTGCCTCTTGTACATAAACAGATGCCGATTATTGCAAAGTTACACATAAACACCAAAAGCCAATTTTATTTAAGCATAGTTTAATTTCTGAAGTGCTGCTACCTTCTAGTGCCAATCTAGGTAGCCTCCAAACGAGTAATAACAACTAAAACTGCTTCAGTCTGTAGTTAGATAAAAAGGCTCGAATGCTTTTAAAAGCTTAGTTTGTTACCTTGGAAACTATGAAAATAGAAAATGCAGCCATGTTATTAATGTTTTCGTTTGAAGTGAAGCATTTGAAAAATGCCTTATTTATTGCCTGCTATCACTGTTTTGTTTGTTAGCTTCACTTCTGTACTGTGCCTTGAATTTAGTTCTTTGAGCTAGATATCCTCCTTCAGAGGGTATCTGGTATGGGAAAGTGGGCAGGGAAGAACTGTATCCACCTACTTGGAATTAAAAGACTGAGGATGGAGAGACTCCTGTAGTACTGATGAAGACAGAGCGAGACTCAGTAGCTAAGCAGGAAGAAGTGCACAACATAGTAGCTAGGGCAGGTCCAAAGTCCCATCTGTTGTCATATGTGTTATTGGAGGTCACAGATACCTGGACTAAAATTTTACATCTGTTTAACCTAAACCTAAGAGAGCTCAAATACTTTGCCTTTTGATACCTTATTCTTTGCTGAATGCTTTCAGAGCAGTAGGAATGATTCTAAGTTCTTTGCAAAAACTGAGTTGGCAGTACTTGATAATCAATACTGCTTTCTTGCAAATGATAGAATACTTCTGTTAAGAACATAAGTTACTGGCAAGGAATATTTCAGGCTATTCTTACTATTTTTATATCACCTAAACAATGGCAGGGTGCATTGTGGCCTTCCCTCAAAGAGAGATGGGAGAAGCCCACCCTTGTGCACTCCTGTAATATCAGCAGCTTTTGCTAAGATGCAGGTGTTGTACTTGGAACAGGCAGTCCTGTTCTGACAATGCTGCTGAGGTGTGTACCACTGAGCATCTTACTGCATGTGCTTTCCTCTAGTGCTTCCTGAATCTGAATAGCTCTTATCTCCTTAAAATTTCAGGAAGATGTTTGTTGGTGGCCTCAGTTGGGATACAAGCAAAAAAGACTTGAAAGATTACTTCACCAAATTTGGTGAGGTAACCGACTGTACAATAAAGATGGACCCTAACACAGGAAGATCCAGAGGCTTTGGATTTATTCTCTTCAAAGAACCTGGGAGTGTTGAAAAGGTGAATTTAAGCTAAATATTTTAGATCTTTAACGTCTATGGGAAACTTTTCAGCTTGAGTTAATCATACCAAACTGTCTTTTAGGTTCTGGAACAGAAAGAACACAGACTAGATGGACGACTAATTGATCCCAAGAAGGCCATGGCAATGAAAAAGGATCCAGTGAAGAAAATATTTGTTGGTGGGCTAAACCCAGAAGCTACAGAAGAGAAAATCAGGGAATACTTTGGAGAGTTTGGAGAGGTGTGTAATGGCATCTTAGTCTCTAGTTGCTGTTTAGTTTATTAATACTTTGCAAGTTTCAAAGTAAGTTAACTTCAGATGTATCAAGCCTTCTGTAACATCCAGGAGTTTCCCAACTTGAGAGCAGAGGTGGCACTTACTGCACCTGGTGCTTCCATTGCTAGTTAGAGACCCTTGTCTTAAACTCAAAGCATTTTAGCTGATGTTAAAACCAGTCTGAAGAGTTGTAAAATGGAAATCTCTGATCCAAAAGCCACTGTTAATATGGAAGGGCTTGCAACTTTGCTGTTACATAAAATGCATAAAGGGAAAATTTACAGTTTTGCCATCCCACTTTCTGTGCATTTAACTTCATCTAAAACATGAATCTGAAAATAGTGTTTTGCATCTTCAGATTGAAGCAATTGAACTGCCAATGGATCCAAAGACCAACAAAAGGAGGGGGTTTGTTTTCATCACTTTCAAGGAAGAGGATCCAGTGAAGAAGGTTTTGGAGAAGAAATTCCATAACGTCAGTGGAAGCAAGGTAGAAACTCTGACTTATAACTCTTGTTCCAAGGATAATACCTCTACATCTATAACCTGAAAAGGCTTTTGTAGACCTCTTGTGTCAAAGTACCAAATTTACAATAAGGACAGCTTAAAGTTTACCACAGCGGTGTTTTGCCCTAAGTTCTGTCACAGGGGCTACCAAAGCTCTTTGACAATACTGTGGCTTTCATTGCTCTATTTTAGGGCCTTTTGTATATGAAGTATCTAATTGCATTAATTAAATATATGTAGAGAAATTGGCTTATGTGTCAGTGTAGCAGTGTAAGCCATTCCAACAGGTAAATGCCTATTTTCAGCACTTGCATAAATGAAAGCTTTGCAGATGTTTAACTTTCCAAGCATCTGGCTGAAACTGGCTCTGTCTGCTGGGGGGAAGCTTCTGCTTTCTTCTTTTTGGAGCTTCTTTCTGCAGAGCCCCCTTGCTCCCCAAACCTTGTAATGTTAACCCACTACAAGGATCCAGGGAGTGAATGTACACTTATGGAAGCTTGTGCTTGGTCAGCTGGTTATGGGAGCTACTGTAAGGGTGGTGTTGGGTGCTCTGACCAGCTGACTGCTCATCTGAGGGAATAGCTAATGGAGAGAGGCTCATGGATCAACATATGTAGACTGGAGGCAAATGATGTGTACTGACTTGAGGTGTCCCTGTTCCCTTGCTCTGAGGCCAGTGCTGACCACAAAACTTCAGAGCCCTATTACACTGGGTCGTACTGTCTGACGCTGACTTGGATTGCATTTGGTTTAAAACTGGTCTTGACACAATCCAGAACAAATTTTGGTAAACCTAATGCAGTGGGAAAGTCAGTGGTTAGCAGTGAAATTTATTTTCAGGAGAGATGAATGCCTAAATGCCAAGAGAGCTGAGAAGCTTTTGTATCATTATCTTGTTTTTGTGTTATAGCCATAGATAATAAAAAGCTGATTACCTTAAAGATCCCGTGGTAAAGAACTTCAAGCCAGGCTTGCTCAGATGCTGTTGTTCCTTGTGCAGCACAGTAGTTTTAATCTTGGACTGCACAGATCCAGGAACCTGGTGAATGGCTGACAGCTTGAACTGCAGCCTGGGAATCTGTCTTGGAAATGTCAGTTCTGGTTGGTTTTACCTGTTAGTATTTGATAAATGGTGATCTCAGGTGTGGGTAGGGGTATGGTACAGTCCATCCACATACACAGTGTGTGGGGTGTACAGTGGCTGCCAGGAAAACTCGTTCTGGTGCATTTTTCAGAATCCTGTTCATTCAGTGTGGCTCAGGTGAAGCAGTCTGATAGCAGCAGCCTTGACCTGGAGGTTGTGCCAGGTGAGAGGGCAGCTTTGTGGCACCTCAGCACCTCCTCCATGGTGAAACGGATGGTAGGGACTAGGCAGGATAAAATGCCCTGAAAGCAGTGGCCTCTTGGAAAGGCTGACAGTGACTTAGCTTCACCCAGGTGGCACAATAAATCAGGTGTCCCTGGACATGCATTAGTGCTGCTCACCTGACCAGGAGCACAGCACGTACACCTCCTTTGCCTCCAGAGGAATCTCTGGCTTCTCCAGGTGCTCAGGTTGGGGCAGTGCTGCTCTGAGACACTTTACATACTCTTCCTTGTTTTTTATTTGCAGTGTGAGATTAAAGTAGCACAGCCAAAAGAAGTGTACCAGCAGCAACAGTTCAGTAGTGGTGGAGGAAGAGGTAGCTATGGAGGAAGAGGCAGAGGTGGAAGAGGCGGCGGTAAGTACCACACACACTACTTTAGTATGGACACATTCTAAATAAGTTGTGTGTACTAAAATGGGATTTTGTGGATGGTTTTCCCTTCTATAGCTCAAAGTCAAAATTGGAATCAAGGTTATGGCAATTACTGGAACCAGGGTTATGGGAATCAAGGATACGGCTATCAGCAAGGTTATGGTGGCTATGGAGGCTATGATTATTCAGGATATGGGTATTATGGATATGGACCAGGCTATGATTACAGTAAGTAAAGAGAACTGTATTGGGTATAAGCAAGCATAACTAATTAGCAGTTTAATGCATTTGTTCTCTTGTTCATAGGTCAAGGCAGTGCAAATTATGGGAAGACACCAAGACGTGGTGGTCATCAGAATAACTACAAGCCATATTGATCAAACTTATTCAGGTATGCAGTGGCATGGTCTCTTTTGGAAAATGACTGCATAGGTTTTGTATACAATGCTGTAGATGGATACTTCAGTTCTGTACCAAATTTAACTTTACAATAAATTTCTATGGCCTGTTAAATGTGCATCTTACTTGGAAGAGCTCCCTGGAAATGTTTTACATGTTTAATACTTACCAATAACTAGTTGTCTAGACAGTGTGGTGTGTCATTTTCAGCATTGCTGAAGATATTAATTAATGATTTTATTAATAGGTTAAACTGAAACTGATTTTGAGGGTCTGCTTAAAAGCTGCAGCTCTGCATCTAGGGACTGCCTCTTGGAGTTAACTATGGACTCTGCATTACTCCAGTTGTACAGAATGAGATGCATCTTAGGGAACCAGTGTCACTTTCCACCTTTTTATTTTGTATTGTTTTTGTGTCATACATTTCCTGTAATGGAAGTGTTAATTTTACTGTACTTTTTGGTACCTTTTTGGAATCTAATGTATTGTAAGGTATTTTACATGTGTTCTGATTCACCATGACATGGATATTGAAGCTATCCTAGCTTTTGAAATAAAAAAGGCGTAATCTAGTGTCTTGTGCCATTCTTCAGCTCATGTGTTAGTAAAACACCAGTATCCTGTTCCCAGAACGTAGTTCATGGCAGTACCTTGATAGATTAAGAGTTGTGCTTAAATGTTTTTAATCTTAAAACTAGAAGGCTGTGTTGGTAGTTGTGCTCACTTGCAGTTAAATGGCAGCTAAAACCTGCTGTCATTTCTGCCTGGAGGTTGTGGAGGACAGCTCAGGTGAGAAGCCCCAGCTGTGGTGGGGCTGTGCTGGTGAGGTGGTGGCTCTGCTCTAGGCAAGCAGAGAGGCTCAGACTAACTGTAGTGGTGTCTGCTTTGGGCTTTGCTAGGAGGAGCCAGAGCTGTAGGGTTCAGGTAGGGCTTGGGAGTCTGGACAGCACTGCAGCAGAGAGCCAAGAGGTGTGCAAGAAGCTGGCTGCACTTCCTCCATATTTCACTGTCTTGAGTCTGAGACTTGTCTGCAAGTTGTTAATAGGCTGCATATACCTGCCTTGAAAGGCAGGTTGGACAGACATTAAATTATCAATGCAAAGTCTGAATTTTTGCAGCATTTTTGTACAACAGAAAAGGCTAAAAGAACTTCCACTGCAGTTGTGGGTGGAAAAAAACATCTCTTTTTCTAGAGATGAGTGACCAGCTAGAAACACTCTCCTTTTTTGACTTTACTGTTTACTGCTATTTTAAGGCAATAACTGTCATGTGATTTGCCTGTCTTCTTGCAGAATATAAGTAGCAAGCTCTGCTGCACAATCTTTGTTGCAGTGATCAATTCAATATTAATCTCCTTTTAAAGCTAAAATCTGGCAATATTTTTTCTTACAACAAATTCTCTTTGAACAAGGAACACCTGGAAGTGGAACTAAACCAAGTAACTAAGAAACAAACACATGTTACTAGTGACCTTTCCAGTTTTTTTAACAAGGGATGCAGCTATTTCTGCATGGACCATAATCTGCTGCTCCCTGCTGGTTGTCCTTGAAAAGAAAAACTTGCTTGTAAGTTTAGAAGTCTGTAAGACACTTCTGGTGTTAGGTGGAAGTATTTTTTAAAAAATTAGATTTTAAATCTTACAGCTGACAACTTTACAGCTGGACCATGTAACCTCCAGCCCAACTTACTTGCAAATAAAAACCAGCAGATCACAGAAACAAATGAGTACAGTATTTAGAAGTATTACTGTCTCAAGTTTTAAATACTTTACTACATACTGCAAATATTTTTTTTTCTGTGAAATAAGGGGTAGCAGAATACTTTTCTAGCAAGCACTTGGCCCTCCAGTGGGAAAATTGTATGGTACCAGGACCACTGTGCTGCAGTCCTTCTGGCTAGTAGAGTCCTAGCAAGAGTTTGTCAGCTGGTGTTATTGTGGTGGTTTTTGTAAGTAGGTGCTCAGGTAATGCTTCCTTAACACAGGTGATGTGGCCTTAGGCTGAAACTGAGGATACTGGTACTTAAATGCAGAGCTGGCTTTTCCCTTTCTTCTTTGCATGAAAAGTTTGTGATACAAAGAACTGCCTGGTGAAAGTAAAGGCTTGTACACAAGGTTGTTGCTTATGGCTGTAAACTACTCTTAATTAACTAATCCTACTTGGATATTTCTCCAGGAACAGACTGTGTTTTTAAGAAGTGGTTTGGGAGCCATGGCCCTCAGCTGTCTGTCCCTCGTGTGTTTGATGTTAGGAATTTGGAACTGAAGTTTTTGACTTAACCTGCTGGCTTGAGAGTGTTTGTTGAATATAGTGCTGCTTAGGGACCTTGTTGTGACACTGGCTGCTGAAACTCTTCAGAGTCCTGGGAAGGACTGTGTGTACTGGCACCTGGAATGGTGTTTGCATAGGTAGCTGAAGACTTGAAAATATCAGAACACCCATTGGCTCATCCTAATTTGAAGAAGTCATAACCTGAAAGTGCATAAATTTAGAAAATGTGTTTTGTAGTGGCCATTAGAAAAATCCTCCTTTATAAACAGTTTTAGATATGCAGTTTTAAATAAAAGCCAATTCCACACTGCCAGAGTTGAGACAAGCTCTTGTAAAATTTATTTCTCCTAGAGCTTTTACTAAAAACAAGATAAATGAAAACAAAAATCAAAGGTGACTTATCTGGTCTAAGACATGCTAGGATGAAGATTAAATGTGCATTATTATAGTAGAATAATGTTTCTTAGTAGTAGATCTTGAACATTGTTTGAAACCTATGGAAAGAAAATAATGTTATGTTTTTTTGGTAAAAGTATCATTAAAAGAAATTACTTCATTGCCTCATTTTCGCTTACATTATATGTAAGTGTCTTACTAGTACTGTACTTAGTAAGAGGCTTTTTGCATCTTTGGTTTCCTGTAGAAAATAAAGGCATTTTTCTTGCTTAGTTTAGATCACAGATAAGTACATTAAGTCATTAGGCCTCTAATTTGCACTGGCACTGTTAAGTAATCTTTCTGTTCCTAAGAATAAGTAGTATAAACAGCTGTATGTCTTTTCATTAACTTGCTAAATAAAATATTAACACATTTTTCTTGTGCCTTGCTATACTAATATACACTGAACTAAAAACATATTTCTCCTTAGCTCAGGGCCATAGCACTGTGAATGTCACGGTGGTTGAGGCCACTACTGATGACACTGCTCACAATGACCACGTTAGGTGCATTCCTGCCCAGCTCTCCAGAGTTCATCTAAACATCTGGTTGTCTCTTAGAGTAGTTTGAAGAAGTACTAAGTGTACCAAAGGATGTTACCAAGGTGGTAACTGTAAGTGTACACTGTGCTCATGAGTGTGCAGCAAACTGAGTTGCAATTAGATGTTCTCTTGGCAACCTACTGAGGGACCTCAACAGATGAAGAGATAACAAGACTATGAAGACTTAACAGGACCAGTCTTACTCTGATATCCACAAACTTTGTGTCTAGGGATAAATGGATCCTGAAGCATGAGATGCCAGCTGTGAACCTGAAATGACACTTAAGGGGAGATCTGCTGAGAAGTGGTTATGCAGCTGGACCAGCTTCTGGCTGGAGCCTGAAGGCACTGAGCAGCAAGCAGAAAAGCTCTGTTTGTGTGGATGTGCAGGCATTTGCATGCTGTAGAGACAGTCATGTCTGGGACATGTTGGCCCTTGCTTACAACAAGTGGTGCACACAGTGTTGCTGGGAGTGTCAGACTGATGGAAGGCAGTTGTGAATGCTGGATGTACACAAGTGTGGTCCATGCTTGGAGATCCCCAGAAATTCCTGCAACCTTTGAGTAAAAGCATCTCTGAGGAACCTTTATTCTGACAGTGCCTGTGAAATTATGTTTAGGAACCTTGGCTTCTAAATAAATAGTTCTGGGTGACTGTAGGTAAATACCTGCTCAGGTTGAACAAACTGGTGTTTTCTATTGGTTCAGACATTCTTTTTCCATATCTGGAGAGAGAATAATCAACAACTTAGAAAAGTCATGACTTAGTATAAAACATGTCACAAACTTTCTTAATGCTAAGTCTGTAGAAGTTGTATAAAAGCTAATAGGCAAAAGTACATAGATTATGGCTTTCAGGAGCATGTGGACCTCTTTTACAAGTTGTGCTTATTCAGATAAGCTAAACGCTCAAACCTCAGCCAGAGAACAGCTGTTTTAAAAGACATGTGCATCTGCAGAGGAAGTAGTTTTGTTGGAGAACTTAAACACAGAATAACTGAGAAGGGAAGGCTATATGCTCAGCATTTACCATCTTGTCTCCCTTTTAACATTATGTGAAAATCAGGCTCAGCAGCTCAGCATTGTCTTTAAGAAAGTCAGAAACCACCCACTATTTTTGAGGGTTTTGATCATTTTTTTACCTGTTAGTATTTTGTCAATTGTCTCCACAACAAATTTTGCATCCTCCATATTAAAACACATTGGGGGCTTGAATTTCAGCACATTTCTTCCTGGCCCATCTGTACTCAGTAGAATATATTCTTCCTTAAGTCTGGAAAAAGCAAAACCATTTACATCTGCATGTAGCCCAGAAAAACTTCCAACACCAACCAGACTGTCACACAGTGCCTTCCTACACTGACTGGTGTCAGTTGTATTTTAGCAGCTCCTGAGTGTGAGGGGTAGTCTGTGTGCTTGCCCCCCATATTAAGGAATGATTGTACCTTGTTATTAAATCCTCTGCTTCTGCTGTGGCTGGAGTCCTTTCTTCTTTGTCCTTGATTAAGTCCACTCCAATGAATAAGCCACACCCTCTGTAATAGAAATAAAACCAAGTCAGTCTGTCAGAGTCAGTGTAAGAGGAAGGAACTATGAGTTAACTAAAAAAACCAAGATTTTTTTAAGACTAGAGCAGTACTGCATGAGAATTACCTGATGTTTGGCTACTGCTAGAAGAAGGCTTTGCTGTTCTGAAGAAATGTAGTAATACAGATTTTTGTCTGCTCACACTGGCATAGCAGGACAGGATGTTAAGCATGTTTTCTGTCTAGCTCATCACTTCTGTACCATGTGCACTTGAACTTTGAGTTCAAACAGGAAAGTGAACTCTTTTAGCAGCTAATAAATTGATAAAACAGTACTGGCCCAGAGTGGCAAAGTATGTGAGACTTCTGATAAGCTCAAGTTTGTTTTACTTAATTATACAGGTGGCTCTTTATTTTTGCTGAAAATATAAAATTTAGTTAATTTCTCAAAACAACGTCTGTTGGATTGAGTTGTTGGACTGACTGAACCAAAGAGAAAGCAGCTAAACGTTTAAATAAGGCACTGATACCTGACATCACCGATGATGGGATGCTTGATTTGCTGCTCCTTGAGTGTCTTCATCAAGAAGTTGCCTACCTCTGTGGCATGAGCCTGAAGGTGTTCCTTTTCAATTACATCAAGCACAGCTAATCCAATGGCACATGAAACAGGGTTCCCACCAAACTGAGCCCAGGAAAGGAACAGAGAGCCATGGAAAGGGAAGAAAGATGAAATCATGTCACTGAAAGTGTAGCCTCAGTGATACGAGGAGCATATTCTTACTTTCATCAGATGGAGCCAAAAACATAGAATCATAGAGTAGAAACATAGAAATAGTACAGCAACACAATTCCTCTTTAGTTACTGTGTGGAAAATACTAATAAAAACACAGCATGAGTATGTAATTTTAATCCTTAGACTCCTTTACAGAAGTGGGCAACTGTTTACTTACTGTATTAAAATACTCTACTCCTGTGGCCGCAAATGCTTCTGCAATTTCTTTTGTTGTCGCTACACAAGCAAGCGGGTGCCCATTTCCTATTGGTTTCCCCATAGTGACAATATCAGGTATAAAATCTTCTCCCTGAAGCTGGAATGCCCAAAAGTGCTTGCCAACCCTGCCAAAGCCAACTTGAATTTCATCAGCAATAAATACACCTCCTGCCTTGTGCACGTGCCTGTAACATAACAGATTTGGTTGTCTCTTAAAAGGAAAGAGAACATAGCATTTACTGTTTAGGAACATGCAGAAAGTGTTACTTTGCAAACTTTGAGGAGACAAATGTATACAAGCCTATACTGTATACTGTGTTTATAAGCAGATCTTTGCCGTATACGAAGTTCACATTCTAACATGAAGGCTTGGGTAATTTCCTACCTATCAAACTCTATGCTACAGCAGGCAGAGAATTGCCTATTTACCAAATATGTTAAGTTTAAAAAGATAATGAATGACCACTTACTCTGCAACCTTCTGAAAATATCCTGCTGGGGGAATGATTTGACCACCAACGCTTGGTAGAGATTCAACAAAAAATGCAGCAATCTGAAACACAGCATATAATGTTTGAACACTATACAGAAAGTTGTAGAGACAGCTTTTTGTCCTTAGAGTGTTTTTGGTTATTAATGTCATATTTTCTTTTTCACAAGTTCATACCACTTAGTTTAGTAACTTTGAATTGCACTTACAGTCAGGCACATTCATTTCAAAGACAAGACAAAAAGTTAAGGAAATTATGTTTTACCTTTCTGCCTTTCTTATGTGCATGCTCAATAATATTTTTTACTTCATCAGCATAGGCTGTTACTGAATCTTCATGGTCTTCTCTGTAAAGTCCTCTGTATGTGTCTGGAACAGGAGCCTATGCAAAAGAACAGTATCCTAGATTCAATATATCATAAAAACAACTTCACTCAATTGACAAGTAATTGATAGATATAGGCTGAAGTACATACCACGTGGACCCATTCCTTTTGTCCTTCTAGATTTCTGAATTTATATGGGCTTATGTCAATCAAAGATGTCAGATGTCCATGGTAAGCACTTCAAAAACAATTGGCAGAACTAAACAGTAATTTTCTCAGTATCAAGAGTTCTTTAGTATTAGCATTCCAAATAGTAAAAAATAGCCAGCTGCTATCACCTGGTAGGAAATTCAGTAACTTAAGCTGAAACAGTTCTGCAATTTCTTTTCTATCAAAAAGCTTATCTCTACTTGGATTTTTTTTTTTAATATAAAGGATGCAGAGGGACAGGACTTAGCACTGGTTTGCCTGTACCAGTGACTGGAATTATAGCAGGGAACACCTGAGCAGTATCACAAGATTGCAGAACCCTGGGAAGGGTGGGAAGGGCCTATTTCTGCATATCCTCCAACAATGGAGTTTCCAGTGACTGTAGGCATCCTGTTCTAATATTTGACTCCCTTCATGGCAAAAGACTTTTTTTTTTCCTATGTCTCATCAAAATTCCTCAGGTTTGAACTTTTATCTGAGGTATTTTTTCCTGTCACCACACATCTTCACACCTGGCTCCCATCTTTCTTGCAGTGAGATCTATCTGGCTGTCTCTTGCAGCTGAACAAACCCAGCGTCTCTCACTGCTGTGGCTCCTTTCCCATCGTGGCAGGCCACTGCTGGCCTCCTTCCAGTGTGTCAACAGCTGTCAACTACTGGAGAGCCCAACCAGAGCTCTCAGGGCTGGGCTGGCAAATACTGAATAAAGGGAAGAAATACTTCCCTCAGCTTCCTGGTTACAGTCGTTCTACTACAGGAGGACTTCAGAAATGCTCTGACCATGGGCAAAAACTGAGCCTTGTACCCCCAAATTGCCAATGTACTCACTGGTCTAAAACAATAACATCCTCATGTTTTGTGTACTGCCGTGCCAATCTCAGGGCAAGGTCATTGGCTTCAGACCTACAATGGAAAAATTCAGTAATTGTTTCATTGTGGATGTCCTGAGTTTTGGAATGTAAACTCCTTTGCGCTGCTCTTTGTGTCTGCGGAGAACAGACAGAATTTGTCCATGTTATGCACAAATTCCTCAGTAATCAGCACTCACTAGGTACGACAGTTCACCAGAACAGAATCCATCTTAAAAAGCCAGAGTACAGGAACTACTTCAGAAACAATCTGGCTTTTTTTTTCTTCCATATGAAGTTTGCTTAAGAATATGTCCCTCCCCTCCAACAGAAGCAATGCATTGCTAAATTTAATTTTAAGAATAACTGTCAAATCAGAAGGCAAATCAGACAAGAAACTAATACAGCAAGTATTTACATTACTGTTTTGTGGTCCAAGTTCTTACAAATAGAATAAAACCCTTCTTATTTAAAGCATGAGTTTCGTTCTCAGGTAGAGGGCTTGCAGAACCAAACCCATTGTCCTGGTTTTTGTCAGTATCTAGTCATCCACACCAAACTGAAATTGGTTGTTGATAAGAAAGTGTGTACTTGTCTGTATATACCTAGTAAAGCCTCAGCATCAATTCTAATGCACCCAACTTACCCAGAATTCAAGAAATAGAAGATGCATAATTTTTCAGGTAGTGTTTTTGAAAGTCTTTCTGCATAATCAACCAAGTTGTCATGAAGGTAACGAGAATTAGTATTTAACAATTGATTCTGTTCATGGGCTGCCTTTACTATATCAGGGTGACAGTGTCCAACTGCAAGAGAATGTGGAGAGTGGTTTGAGAGTTCATATTATCCATGGTGTTCATTCATATGCCAGCTTAACACATTTCTCTAATATTATAGAGATATTATCAGTAGGGCCTTAATAATGGTACATCTTGTAAAAACATTTTTGTGCTCCTCAGAAAGTTTGAAGGTGCCTCCTACTGTATTCAAGGTTTGTAGTTAGTACTGGAAATTGATATGCTAAAACAAATAGTGTCTGATTTGATGCTTGGATTTAGGCATTTACACAGAGTTGGGGAAGGTGCAGGTAAGCTTTACTATCATAGAATTACTAGCCCTAGTAGGGGTTAGATTAGAGAGTTTTCAAATCCTGTAAGAAAGCAGCAGTCAGTTATACACAAGGCAGCACACTGAGCAGTGGTTCTGTGACTGTACATTCAACAGTAATTTTTACAAAAACAACAAAATGTCACTTGTTCGTTTTACAGTGAAGTGCTTTACTTGAGTTTCCATGGGAAAAAAATCTGTATGTTTCAGACACATTTCTAGGAAGACAGGACAGGAAGCAAGTCTGGAAAGCACATTCACACACCCAAATTCAAAAACACTAACTCCCCAAACTACACACTCAAGAAAGTTTCCTTCCACTTTTCCAATTAAACATCCCCTCCCCCAGCACAGTGCAACCACAGTAAAAGTACTGATTGTTCTTTGTTCTGCTTAAAAAAACACAGTATCAAATAACATCCAATACCACGACTTCAGCTTACCGTGAGCAACATTGTTTATGCAGTCAAGGTACTGTCTCCCATCCTCATCATACATGTACTGGCCTTTTGCCTTCACAATCTTCACTGGATCGTTAGGAAAAAACAGCTTGCAAGAAGAGCTATGACAGGCATCAGAAAGCAAAATAAATCTTAGTTTAGTTTATCCTATTGGTAAAAGGTGTTTCTCCTGTTTGCTCACAGAATCATCCTGCTTTTGACCCCTAAATCAAAGGCCTTGTACTCAAATTTTCTTAGATTAACAGGAAAAAACCACACTCCAAACCTGAAAATCCTACTCTAGAGTCTAGCCACAGCAGACCTGCCTCTATAGTTTCATCCTGTCTTAACTGCAATTCCTTACTGTCTGTGCTGTCTGCCCTTTTCTTCTGTGTCTCTTACCTTGTGCTGTGCTCTTTTTATTATTCTTACTATGTTCTTGCTATTCCTGCCAACATCCTGATTTTCCTGATAGTTTACTGCAGGTGACTTGTTAAAGCTTCACTAACCATAGCTGGAACACTGAGTTATTTTATAAGGCTTGGTTTACTTAATTGTGTTTACTTATTTGTTTTGTTTCACTTTTTAAACGAATTGCCAAACAAGTAAAATGGAAACACATCTGCCTAAGTAGGAGTTGCAGAGATTTGAGACTGAAGGGCAATATCAAACTTCCATCAGTCATTTAGTAAAAGATGGCTTATAGAGAAATAATTTGACAATAAATACAAAACTATTGTCAAATGGATAACAAAGGACAATGGTGAAGTAAGAAAGTGCTTCATTATCCCTCCCCAACAGGTATCTTGATACTTTCTGTGTGAGCTGGCAAAATAGGTGGGAGTTTGCAAGCTTCTAACTGTTCAAAAGATGCTAAGAAAGTGCTTGCAGAGGTGGGTCTTTGTTGCCAGTGGCAGGGCAAATAAAAAAAAAATCTAATACCCAGTGTAGTATTTTTCAGGTGCATGTAGCTGGCATAATTTAATTTCAGCACTTACTTTCAGCCCAACTTTTGTATTTATACAAGACATAAAAGTAGCCTTCGATTTGAATATATATGATATGAAAATATGCCCACAGTTAAAAAAGAGTTGTGTTGCCATACTTGGTGATAGTCTATAGAATTAAGACTTTCTTTAGACTGGTTGAAACATCACCGGTAATGGGAAGTTTAGAACTGAGTCTTGTCCTTCATTCTGTCAAAGAGAGCAGACTTTTGTTGTTAATTCCATCACGGTTTTGGTATAATTAGTTTCCTCAAAGATGGGCTATAATAAAGCCAGAACCTCGCTTGGCCCAGCACGGCCTCCAGCCCCAGCCGTGCCTCTGCCGGGCTCGCAGAAAACGCTTTCTAAGCAGTTTGGACTCTAAACAGGCGCACTCGGTATCATACGGGTTTTACGGTGCAGTTTCGTAATCCCCTCGTTAAGAAAGGCTAATTCCTGTTAATTACAGCAGCGCTCCGGGCCGTGCGGGCGCGGCTCCGGCGCTGCTGCCGCTCCAGCCCGGGCGCGATGGCGCTGCCGCCGGGCGGGGCCCGCGCCTCGGCCCCGCTCCGGGCCCGTCCGGCGGCAGCGCCCGCCCGGCCCGGCCCCGTTCCCGCAGCACTCACCCGAGGAGCTGCCGCCGCAGGGCCAGCGTCTGCTGCCGGCAGCGCGGCTGGGCCGCCCGCATGGCCGCCCGCGGGCCGGCGGCGGAGCGAGGAAGGGGAGGAGGGAGGGAGGGAGGGAAGGAGCGGCCGCCTCCCGCGGGGCCGGGCTGGAGGGGAGGGCAGGGCAGGGCAGGGGAGAGGAGGGCAGGGGAGGGGAGGGGAGGGGAGGGGAGGGCAGGGCAGGGCAGGGCAGGGCAGGGGAGGGGAGGGCAGGGCAGGGCAGGGCAGGGCAGGGGAGGGGAGGGGAGGGCAGGGCAGGGCAGGGCAGGGCAGGGCAGGGCAGGGCAGGGGAGGGCAGGGCAGGGCAGGGGAGGGGCGGCCGGAGCGCCCCGCGCAGCCCCGAGCGCGGCGCGGTCCCGGGGCGCCGGAGCGGGGCCGCAGCTCAGCCGCGGTGCTCCGGGCGGCGCGTCCCTCGCAGGCAGCAGTGGGGACACACGGGGACAGGCTGGGGCCCTGCAGGGCTGCCGGCAGCGCACCCTCAAACCACACGCCCCACGGTTTCACCCTGCTCGGATTCATCTGCATCCCGCTCACCGCGGAGGGTACCTTAGTACAGCTATAGCACTTCTCATTTGAAATACACATTGAGGAAGTTTCTTTTACAGTTGAAAATAATTTGAGTGGGTAGCCAGGGTGGTAGAACTGAAATAATCCTTCCACATCATTGTTAAAGCAGAAGTAAACCCAGCCTTTTACAGGTTGTACCCCTGTGTGTGGTTGGTGGCAGATAGGGTAGGCACCTGACTGACTCCTTCAGAGCCAACCCTAAAGCAGGTCATAGTTAGGATTAAAAGAGGAAATGCTGTCAATCAGATTAGATGGTCTTTCTTACATTCCTGTTTGACTGGAATTACCTAAAAGAAAATAGGAAAAAGAACTAGAAAGAAGGTTCTGTGATGCATTGCATTCTGCTACTGCAGGTGTTGTATCCCATAACCAAGTTCATCAGCTTTTCCAACTTGATTCTAGAAAATGACAAAATTTTTCCTTCCAAATACACATTCAGATTCTTTTGGTTTAAACTAACAAACATCTTTTAAAAACTCTAGAAAAACAGAACAGATAATTTAAAAACTACAGTTGGCAGATTTTGCTCACTAGGTATAGCCACCATTAATTATCTCTAGTTGCAATTACTTAATGGGCACAGGAGTAGTAAAAGTTTTGTGCAATATGGAGAATGCAAAACCAAATTGCTATGTACTTAAAGTTAGATTGAACTTAGTCTAACTACATGGTTTCATAAAGGTCAGGTTTTAAGTAACAAAAGACAGTGGAGACAAAGTTAATAATAGCTGTTAATCTTTATTTGAACTCTTGTCTGGTTAAGATATTTACTAGCTATTTATAATAACAACCTGAACATTTACAATTTGGAAAGTTTACTCTTGGTTACAAATGCAGAGTTCATTATACATATTCACACAATTGTAAAAGTAATCTGTACAGAGAGACCATTTCTAAAATCTAGTCTTTGCTTTTATTAAAAAAAGCACAAGAAAAATGTTTTTTTTTAGGTCTCAAGGTAATGTCCATTACACCTTTAAACTAGAAATATATGATGTAGTACTAATTAATACCATTTTAACATGTTAAAACAATGGATAAGAAATACTGTTATTAATGCCTTCATTTTTAAAGTAGTTGCTCCCCAAAGAAGAGTAAATAGAATACTTTTCGTGGCACATACATGATCAAAAGTCACAAAAAGTTTGCAAATGGAGATGTTAAGTACATTTTCTGTAATTTTAGTATCTATATATTTCTTTTCAAAGGTCATATACAGAGATTTAGCCAGCTTTGTATAAAATACCATGTAAATACATTCAAAACTCATTTTTTGCAAGCTGCAAACACACAAACAGCCCTTTCTCCTCTGAACGGCCTCCCCAGAGTGATGCAACCACTCACATAAATGAGGGACACTTGCATAACATGGTAGAGGATTAAGCTCTGTTGACATAATTTCAAACCAAATATGGACAGATAAGGCACATGTTGGATATATTTTTCTAAACTGTATATAGATTTGAGATACCAGCAGGTACAATTTCTCAAATGCTTGTGTACCCACTAGTTTTATATCATTTCTATGTCCAAAGTCATGTAATGCAGCAAAGCAGAGGGCTTTTTGACAGTGGTATTTGTGCTGAACATTCTTCATATTCAGTATTTTTGATTGCTTTTAAGATAGCAGAAAAAGAAACCCAAACTGAAACTCAAAAAAGCTGTTATGAAATTGTTTATAAAACTGCAGTCTATGAAACAAACCAGCAAACACAACAGACTCCAGCTCTCATTTGCACTGATGGCAGCTTAGGACCTTTCCTGCTATATTTACAAATTCAGTGGATATCATGGGTGCTTTTGCTTTGCAAAACCAGATTGTAATTTTTTAATGTAATTGCAGAAACACAAGTTTGATTAGCACTCACCTACACATAACAAATTCCTGTAAAATGAACTTCTAAAATACATTGTTTAACAGTATAATAAAAAGCAGCAGATGTTTTCAGTGTCATTTACAGATATTTGGGTCTCCTCCCTTTTAAGTTCCTTAATATCTAAGTTAATATCTAAATTTCTTAATAGCCAATGTTCATTAATATCTAAGTTATGTAAGGAACCACACAAGTGAGCTGACACAGAAGTGAGGTGACTGTTCCATGAAACCACACTTAAGGCAACTTCTAGCATAACTTAACAAAATAGGAATTAATTGTTTGTCCTAAGTCATAGGAAAACCACAAATGTTACTAATGTTACTTACTCTACTCTCTTGTCAATAATTCAACTTCTTATGCGTGGAAAACTCGTGTTTCCCAGCCTTCCTGTGGTTTCCCCCAGGCTCTCTGCAGTAGTGTACAATAATATAATCTATTAAGTCCTTCCTCCACTGATATCCAAGTGACAGATTCTCAGCACTTACTGTAGCTGCAGGTTACACAACAGTCACACATCTCCTGTGCTCCAGCTAATGGGACACAAGCACATGGCAAAGTTGCAGTAGTTCACCTGGGGATGTGAAAGTACTGAAAGCAATTTTTTGCTTACAAATATAAATTATCACCAGGGAAAATAAAGTTTAGGAAATTGTTTTTTTACTCACTGGTTTGCTTCAGTCTCTAATAGAGTCCCCCAAGTGGAGCTCTGGAATATTCCAAACTGAACTACTTACAGCCAGGTCCAGTGCAGTGCCAGGGACACGTTTAAAAGGCAGGTGACTCCAGTAAGTGACACTGAGACTGGACTAACTAGAGTGACCAAATATTTCTCTCTGCCCCTTCCTTTTTATTAAAAAAAAAACCCAAAAAAACCACTATTGCAAAGGTCAAGAAATATGCTTACATAAACTCTGTCCTGTAAGGTTGCCAGGTTCAGTGTGTGCCACAGTGATTGCCTTGGCAAGTTAGAGTGTTACAGACCTTTTGAAATGATCCATATATGTAACTTCTCACTTGAAAATCTCTGGTTAAACCTCTGCAAGGCTGGCTGTGCTGCTCAGCATGTCAGCCTGTCCTGAACAGGTAAAAACCACGAGTTCCAAATTAAACAAAGCAATGCTGAGGTTCTTTCCACCTGTGGACACTCCTTCCTCTGCTAGAGCACATTGGAACCAAACTCATAGATCTGAAGTCAGCCACATACCTGCACTATTTGTCCAGGATGAGTAGCTTGGAGACATTTAAATTTTTATATCTTAATCATTTTTACTTATTAATATTTTGCATATCTTAGAGAGAAATCCATTGCCTACAAATGAAATAATTCAGAGCTTCCATGCTTAAAATTTTAAAAACAGAAATGTGTCAGGAAATCTACTATAGGTAGATTATATGTGCGTAACACTGTAAATTATTTGGGCAACAGTGGGACTGAAAAAGGTGAAAATACAATTGTATTTCCCAAGAAAGAAATACCAGATTTGGAAAAAATCCAAAAGTTTCTATCCATGCACTCCTGGTTTTACAAGTGTCTGTTCAAACTGTAGAGTTACACAAAAGTCATGTGTGCTGTACATTAAGAGACACTGTCACAGCACAAAATTTGCATAAAATTTGCTTCTGTTTAAAAAAGAGTCTCCTCTGGAGGGCAGCATTGAACCAGCATTCACCTTTATAATGCACACATTACATTGACAGGCCAGGGAAGTTATTTACAGTATGAGAAAGCTGGAAACTTGATGGCATCTTAATAGTTTAATTAATTTTTATTACTTATTTTAATCAGTTGTGCATTACAATGTGTGAGTTCTTGCATTCTTGCCCAAGACCTGCTATATTTGGCTGAGTGTAAAACCAGAACTTTATCCAAGGTAGTGGTTACTGTACAGTCTTAAAACCACAGGTGTCATTTTCCATGGATTCCTTTGCATCGTTGCATGGGATGTCTCAAACTGCTAAAACCTCCCACATGTTTTGCTGGTTTGCTTAAGGATTTCAAATGCTAAATTTATGAAATTACAGAAGACAAAAGCTCATCTAAGTATTTCATGTTTTGGTTTCCTAAAAAGAAAACACATCAGAAAGTCTCTAACCATTAAAATAAACATTCTTATTTTTAAATACACAGGAGAAAAATCCATACAGAAATAAATTCATCACTATTATATATACAGTGTCAGAAGCAGTGCATACAGAAGAGGCAACTCCCTAGGGGAATAAAACAATACATATGGCAATATCTTGATTATAATGTTTTTAAACTAAAATATTGATGAATTGACACTTGGGAACAGTTCCAGTTCGGGGTCAGATCAGGATTTTTCTGCCACTTGTTTTGTAATCTAAAGAAATATTCCTCAATTCACTGGCCAAGCCATGACTGAGCTGCAAAACCCTAAATTATCTCATTTGTCCCCATCAGAACAGGCCAAATTATTGTGTTCATGCTCTGGCAAGGTTCCTCTCAAGCTGCCGTCTGTGGAGTTACAGACATGGGGGTTTTTGCCTTATTCCCTTCTTCCCCAAATCCATCCTCCCCAGAAGCTTTAGGGAGCATTCCCATCCTCACAGTTGGGTGCATCATCAGCACTCCTGGAGCACTGACACAACCAGAGGCAGCAGCAGCTCCAGCCTCAGTCACTGTCAGGCACAGCAAGGCAGCCCTGCCTGCAGAGCTTTGTGGCTGCAAAACCTTTTAGGGCTCTCAAGAGAGTTCTTGTGCCCTTATCATTCAGTTTGGGAGCTTTGATTCCAAAACCCATTGGGCTACAGTGTGTTAAGAGAGAGGATGTTGGTGGTGACTGGAAGGATGGTCATTAGCTACAGTTTGAAATGGAACAAGCCTTACAGAAAACTGTGTGTCCTCTGCTCCTGGGCAGCAGCAGACGTGGTTGGCTTAACCTCATGGAAAGCACTGTGCTTTCACAGGCACTTAAATTAGAGGCAGGAATTTTGTTTTGTCAACTAAAAAACAAGAATATATTTGTCTGAGTTTCAGGTTCCCCCAATTATCAGTAACCCAGAATGTCTATTGATGAATTTATAAAGTTACACCAAATATTTTAGTGATCAAGAAAAATCAGTGGCTCAGTCTCAGCCTGACCCACATTTTGTAACCATTAGCAGCCTCTCTGTCAGTCATCTTCATTGCTGCTGACATATAGTGGTAACATTCAGCTGCTTTTTGGAATTGCTGTAAAGCAGTCTCAGATTCTTTCAAACCAGAGGGGAAAACAAAAGAAGAGAGATCTCCTGGGGGAAAAAGCTCCCTAAAATTTGTGAAAGGCTGAGATCATGACTGAGATTTGAGCAAGACTGCCAGTACTACCTAGAAGTAAAATTTGTCTTTGTGAGCTATTCATAAAGTATTCAGAAAGACCCAGATAAACATTTTCATATGGAAGGAGAAAATAATCAACTGATCTGGCATGAATTTGCAGAGCAAAGCACATCTTTTCAACTCACTGCAGCAAGATCATGACTGCTCTGGATTTAACAACTGCTCTTCTGAATATGTTGGTGTGTAAGGCACATGGAAGTTTAAACAGTTTTCCTCTTAGACTCTGTGAAATCAGTACAAAACCCAAGAGTTTCTCTAACGAAGTCTGTGGATCTGAATGATATGATTGATAATCACAGAATGGCTGAGCTTGGTACAGCCTTTAAGGTCACTGAGGTCCAGCTCTGTGCCATGGGCAGGGAGCCAGGGACGCTGGCAGAGTCTAAAGGCCAAATGCCCCAACCCCAGCTGAGGACCAGGCAGGATTCGAGGTGCCAGTGCCAGCCCTGCTGGGGATCACCCCCTGCTCTCCACAGGGCTCTGCTCCTTTGCCCAGGGGGTGGTAGAGTGGATCTACCACCCCCAAGGAGTGGGGAGAGATCCAGGAGACCTACTGGTTCCTCAGATGAGTTCTCATAGCCAAAGTGGCAGCAGTGTGCAGCATGATCCAGCATTCCTGATGGGAGTGGTGGCAGCAGGGGTCCAGAGAAGCCACTGCACATGAGCAGTGAGTCCAGTGTCCTGAACATTCCTGACTACTGCACGTGCAGAGATGTACATGCAGCACCAAGGGCCTTTTCCTGGGAATTTCCAAGGAGGGTCACAGAAAGGTTTGGTAGCTGAACTGTAGCACTGGTGGGGGTGGATACAGCTGCACTCCTGTGCTAGAGTGGCAATTCCAGCCTTCCTCCACTACCAACAAATGGCTTTGGGTGCTGTGGCAGCAGAGGCTCTGTGCTGGGAGGGGGATGGTGGCCTTGCACAGGGATGAGAGGGTAAAGCACTATTCTGGTATTCTGTGTCAATGTTTTGCAGGCCTGGCAGTGGTCACAGTTGATGCCTACAAGCACTGGATATTCCACAAGTTGAAGACGGAATACTGACTTGTTTACCTGAAGATAATAGGACTTCGGGGTATTTCCTCAGAGAAAATATAAATTTTAATATAATTTCATAAGCTTTGGAGGTTAGCTTGTCTTGTAGCTTCAGTGATATCAAACTTCTTCAAGTAGGAGCTAGATAGAAAGCTGTTTAGTTTTTGCCAGCGTATGTAAAACAAGACTTTTCTATCTGCATTGTAGATTGTTTGTGGACACTTCCAGATTCTTGTGCTTTCTGCAGTCATTCTGGGGACTGAACTCTCATTGATATTGAAAGAAGTTCCATGAACACAACATGTGCAGGAATGTGAGTGTAGAAACCCACAGTGTGGTTTGGAATAGTGAACTGCTTTTAGTTTGGAGATGACTGGGGGAGATGGGAAGAGCAACTGTGCATTAAGGGAACAATTACAGATCTTCCTGGTGACATCAATGAGAGATTTGCCTTCAACCTTTCACAGAAAATTTTTTAGCTTTAATTTGGGATATTAAAGGGGTTTTTCAAAAGCACTAAAGGCCAGTGGAAGCTTGTTAGCTGCTCCTTATGCCTTTAAAAACCCCTACACCAAAAGTGATAGCCGAGAACATGAAATGGAAGTAAATAAAATGCATTTTCATTGCTGTTTTGAGTTATATAATTGTTGTTTCTTGATTTGTTAGTTAATCTGAATTTAACATGGATTTAATCTGTATGGTGACCAAGGAATTGGTGAGTAACTGGTAGAGATGCCAAGTACAGCCACAAAGCCAGTGATGTGTAGGTGCAGCCCCTGAGCAGCCAAGCAGGTAACAAATGCACTGCCCACAGCCCGAGGCTGTGTCACCTCTCCTGAGCTTGGTGGCCATTCCAGCACTGACCAGCACAGAGCACAAGCTCACCCTCACTCCTGGGATAACCCAAGGACACCCAGAGCCTGGTCACAGATGAGAACTCACAGACACCAGGCATCACCCTACCTGTGTGGAGCACAAAGCACATTCCCACTGTTGTTCACAGTATTGGAGCAAGACCTGCAGCACTAGGTCAGCTTGGACAGGGCAGGGTGCACCTGGACAGTCACATCCCTCTCTCAGCCCTCTCTGGCAGTAGCTACAGTGAGAGTGGCAATAAAGCAAGACTCTTAACAGAGGTTTTGGATCTACTCAGTGCATCTAATCTGCCTCCCTTCTGTATACTCTAAGATCAAGGCCACAAAGAGCCTTAGTACTGTGTTTGATATTATGGTCAGGCTCCTTATTTCACCTAAAACTCCCACACAGAGCCCAGCAACTTGTATCGAATAAAGTATTTCCTCCAGACATGATCTGTTAAATCAAAAGGGCATAAAGGTGATAGCAATTATGTCACTGATCTGGTTAGGATTAACCAGTTTTACCAATAAAAATCCACAGTTTACTGTTTTGAGTTTGTGTGGCTTCAACTTCTACCCATTAGATGCGTATTTGTATATCTTTTCTCTGTGCAGTTTAAAAAATTGTTAATACAAAGTATCTCCTCCCTGTAAAGGAATCTGGTTGCTTCTTGATCTTTATTGTAAGCTGAACAGACTCGGCTGTAAGCCATCTTCTTCCTCTTTGAAATATTTTTTATGGCTCTCTGCTGCACAATTGCTGTTTTTTCAACATCTTAAAAAATGTTGAACTGTGGAATAGTTTGCAATTTTAATTTATCCCACAGTGGTATATGCAGATATCAAAATAATGATGATTTTATCCATTACCCTGCTCTGCATGGGATGTGCCTGAGAAGAGATAATTTAACAAAAGAGACCGAAAAGGTGAAGAAAAATAAGACAAGAGGAGAGTGCAGAGTTAGTTTGCAGTTAAAACTATGTAAACCAAGAAGAAATAAAGAGCAAATGAACCCCACAAACCAAGTCAATTAAATACTCGAAACTCCCAATTTCTGGGAACCCCAAGAGCAACATTATGTGCTCTGTTGTTTAAGAAAGGACTTGAGGAGAGCCTTCCCTGTCCTGCAGCTCCCTTCACTGAAAGTATTGCCAGGTTTTTCTGTTTGGAAATGCTGCAGCAGAGGCTTCCCGGGGAACTTGTGTTCCACAGTAACAAAGTGCTGGCACACCTTCAGGCTCAGGCCCCAGAACAGGACCCAGAGGTGCTTCCTCTTGAGGAAAAAGGTTTCTCTTGATTGTAGAGGAAATAGCCACAGGCAGTCAAGGGTGTTCAGTTTAGCCCCAGAATTGCTGTTTCCGTCACGCCCACAGCCAGTAGTGATGGATGGAGCTCGGCTTTGTTTCCTCTGCAGGTTGCAAATCCTTCTCCTGTTTGACCAGACAGTAGACAGCAGCTTCTTTCATTTTTAAGGCTGCATCCTTCTTTTCTTTGTTTTCAGCCAGGTTTTTTCACCCTTTTAATGTGCGTGTATAATGCAGATATGAAGTTGAGAGCCAGATTAGGACAGAGAATTTGCCCTCCTTTCATGCAGTAAGGCACACGAGGCTGGCTCAGTACTGTTAGTTCACACTGCAGCATGAGCAGGGAACACTGTTCATCCTCAGCTACTGTCATCAGCATCTTTAGCAAATCCTGGTGTTACCATGCAATGGTATGGGTTTGGGAGCTTTACATTATTTTCCAAGTCCATAAATGTCAGAATCCAGTATAAAAAAAGGTCAATATATTACTGTCAAAAGTTTTTTTTTTTTCCTTTTTTTATACAAAAATTAAAAAGATCAAAATATATCACATTATTTACATATTGTGCTTCATGCTTAGTGATCACTGAAAGAGAACACACAAACATTTTAATCAGAGAAATGCTCCATTCATTACACTTACTAACCTTACTGTTAATACTATAAGGATTGGCATTCAGATTTCTTTTCCTATTAATGGTACATCCAAACAAATGACACAGAATTAAAACCTTTGATATACCAAGGGTGTGCTCACATTCTAACAGAGTTTGCAATAGTTAGTGGCATGCTGTTAACTCCAGCTGTGTCCACATACCACATGTTTACAGCTGGGTTTGTAATTCCGCTCAGCTTCAGTGTCATACTCTTGTTGGAGAATGAAGATTCTCCTACAAGTCTGGATCAAATCCTCGTTTTACAGGAGTACATGTCTCTCCTCATTCTCCCAGGCTGCCAGTAGCACTTCCAAGCCCTGGCTGCTCTGTGTGCACGAGATGCTACAAATTACCTGACCACTGCACCCAGGCTGCTGATCAGAGCACTGAGGCAGTGCAGTGGTTGTGAGTTATAATTAAAATGGCAGAAGAGTCTTTGTTAGAAAAGAAATGTTTGGAACTCTGCAACAAAGAGACAAGCCATTGTTAACTTCTCAGCTGGGAGGGCATGGACTGGGTAAGGCACATGGTGCAGCCTTCCCATGGGTGCTTGCTTGGCCAGGATAAAAGCCCGAGCAGGCCTGTAAAAAGGCATTCTGCTGACAGTGTTAACAATGATTTGTCATTCTTAGCAAGTTTTTGGTGTTCCCAGCACCAGCCCAGAGCTGGGGGGAACAAGACCTGAAGCTGCTGGAATCCTGCTCTCCCAAGGTATCGTTAGACCATGTCTGCCAGGCCTGTGAGCTGTTGCTTAAAGCAAGTGCAGCAGTGCAAACAGTCACCATGCAGGGAGCAAAATTCCTCAGGACCTGTTCAAGGATATACAGTTATTAATGTTACTGTACCTTGTGCCAACATCCTGCTACTGGCAGTCCGTCTGGTCCCTGCAAAATTAAATTTACAGATTCAGTTTTCCTGACAGTGACTTAAGTGTCAGACCCAAAAACCTGAAGCTCATTTGTCACAATGAAAGGCTTAGCAGCACTGTTAATTACCATGCAAAACCCATGTACTGTATATGCACAAAAATGAATATGCAGGCAATGTAATCCATATGTCACACACAACACAAAATTAAATACACCTCAGGGTAAATGAAAAAAAAAAGAACTTGGAAATCTACACTTCTTTTTCCTTTAAATGAAGAAAATGTGTACAAATAGATTTGAAATCACAGTTCATTAACTTCATGATCTGCTTTATAAGGTAGTGTATTTTGCAATCAGACATATATATGGAAAGCATGATGTGGGAATGTATTTTTTGTTAAAATGTGCTTTTCTGCTTGGAGGAGGTGATGTAAGTATTTTTTTCCTAGATGGTACCCTAATTGTGTTAAATTTGATCCTGCAGCACTTAGTTTCTTTAAGAAATCTTGAGCTGCTGAACTCAGAGAATAGAATGAGTTGTGGACTATGCAAAGGGAGTGAAAATATTTGTCTTGTTCCACGGGAGATACAAGAAACATAGCAACATACAGAAGAAACACACAAGAAACATACAGAAAGCCAGAAGAACTCTCACTCCAGGAGGAGAGCACTGGAAAGGAAGAAGCCCCTTATAAGAGGAATGAGCTATGAATGACCAGCTCTCTCAAGGCACTTCAGAAGAAATATCTGACTACAGCTGCCTTTCCTGATGCTTGATTTGTGTAAGGCTCTTGGATCTCCAGTTACATGAATTTCTGCATGTAGAGCCACAGAGAGCACACAGGCACTGACCCTTCCCTCAGAGCCACCTTCAGGCTCACTAGGGCTGGGGAGATGTGGATGCAGCAGAGAGAACTGCTAGTGCAAATACAGGTCAAAATGCAATTTTACATTTTTTACTGTAAATGTTAGTCATCACATTTTTTGTATTCTGTATTGATTTTATATGTAAAATAGCCTATGCCCAATAAAACAGATGCAGTGAAGTAAGGTAACCCTCTCCAGCTACTCATAGTGTAAGAAGTCATGCTGTCCTGTAACCTTAGTTAGAAAACATACATTTTTTTTCTGCAGACACAGTCAATATTTTGGTTCAAAGCTATTAAAAAAAAAAGGGTAAAACATACATTTGCCAGAATTGTCTGGGGGTGATGGGTACAGGGAACAAGGTGCAGAGTAGTTGTTTGACCTAAAATGTCCTGACCTGCTGTTCAAGTGCACCCTAACCCTGATGGTCAGGGGGTTGATTACTGCCCTGAGCTATTTCTCCTTCTTGTGCACTCAGAATATTTATTTTGGCCATCATAAAACTCCACACCTTTCTACCATGTTTCACTCAAGTGACTCCAGAATGATTCTTCATGGCTGTGTGTGTGGGGCTCGTGCTGATGCTCCTGGACTGAAAGCCCAGCAAGCCTCCACTGCACCCTGGGCTGCAGAACAAAATCAACATTTCAACCAATCTGCAGCTAACCAGGAAGATGCACAAGTGCTTTACTGACTGGTCATGTTGTAGTTAATTGGAGGAATCACCTACTGCAGTTTACAACACCTTCAACAGAGATAGGTCCTGTGTTTTCTGGATAGTTAAGATGGGAGATGCTTAGGAAATAGAACATCTCTGGGGAGTAAGAAAGAAGTTAGAGCAGGCCTGCTGTTAGGAATTGGTTTCTTGGACACATCTGAAAGTAATTTAATTTTTTGAAAGAGAAACAGCTTACTGCCCTTTTGTTTCTCTGAGGACAACTGCAAATCATCTAGCATGCAGCATTTCCTATGGTTAAAAAAATGAAAATAAAACAATGACCTCTCTTAGCTAGTGGTGCAGAGCCCTTTGGGGGAGCAGAGCATGAACCTTCCTGCATAACCACTGGACTCAGCCTGAGCTCTGGGCAGAGCTCTGTGCTGACAGCAAAACCCTTCTGATGCCCAGAGTGCCAATGGTCCTGCTCTGCAGGACTGGCTGTTTGTTTGAGGAAAGCTTTTCAAATCCCAGCTGGGAATGGGACTCAGGTACAAGGGGAACCAAACTGGGCCATAGGTACTGAGAGAAACTTTGAGCATCTATTACCAGAGTCTGAGCATCTAAAAAAAGTTTGAAAGTATCTAACTTTGAGCATCTGTTACCATAAAGGGACTGGCATCCCCTGCATGATCTCCCATGATTTACACTCCTTATCTAAAGTCATTTTAACTGGGAAGAAGGTGGCACAACACACTGGCATCCTTCCCCAAATGGCAGAGTGAAACCTCTCGTCCCTGTCCTTCCTCTCCCTGGAGGGGTTTGCTCCCCGGGACAGGGCTTGGCCACAGCAGGAACACACACAAATCATGCAAGACAGAGCAGATACTGTACCAAAGGGCAGGGCAGGCTCACCCCATCCAGGCCTGGCAAACCTGGGTCCCTTTTGCTGCCTGCAGTGCTATGATCTCCCTGTTTGGAAAAATAACTGCTTGTTGAGAATGGTAAAGGACATAGGAGTTACACAGACTGACACCCATGTTTCAGCACAGTGGGAGAAGGATGGGGTCTAGAGCTTCACAGCTCCATTCCTGATGACACAGCAAGTCAGCAGAGTGGTTTTATGGTAGGGAATTCACGTGACAAGCAGAGTCTGTCATCTGGGAAAGATCCTCTGTACATAAACCAGAGATTCACATTTGTAAAAGTGCAGTTAAAGAGACAAAGGGTAAATTACCCAACATGTCGAGAGAGGAAAAAATTAATTGTAGTTCACATTCAATCTCCAGGCAAAGTAAAGCATATTGACTAAAGGAGCTTCTTGCTAATATAGAGGAGCTACACAACAGCCTTGTCTGTCTTGGATGTGTGCAGAGAGTGAGGAAAATCACATGTTCAGACAAGAAATGGGTTTTTGAATGACACAGCGGGCACTCTTAATTAGGTGCCTCTGGACTAAGTTCTAAACAGCCACATTTATGCAGTTTTAGTTCCATATTTGATATTTCTCATCCTGCAGCTTCCAAACACTTCAGGGAAAACGATCTCTCTAGTTTTAGTCATCATATGAGAAACAGTAGTGAGAAGGAGGTAAATTTTACCAGGTCAAATAGCTTCTTATAAACCACTCAAGACTTTTTCTTGTGGGCTCTATCTAATGAATGAGAGGTTCTGGAAGTGGATTTGGGAGATCCAGCTTCCCCAGGCTCAAACCCAGGAGGTTTCCTGGAGAGCCCACTGGGCTGTGTGCTGCACAGCAGTGGCCCGGGGTGTGGGAAGGGACAGCTCTGGGCCACAGGCAGAGAAACCAGGGGAGGTCTCTTCTCCCAGAGGCACTCCTTGGCAGCACATACATCACTTATGCTTGGCAGAACCGTGATGCTATCAACCCCAACAAGCTTCCCTGGCTCATTCCTCACTCGGTTTGCAGGGATGAAGGGAAGGATGGAGCTGGCCTTGTTTTCAGATCACCTCCCATCCCCTGCACCCAGTTACTCCCTGATTTCACACATTTCCCTGCTCAGAAGCCAGGCCAGCAGCTTCACACTATCTCCTGAAGAGCTCTACTGAGGTCCATTGTTTCTTCTACAATAAGAAGGTCTTTACACAAAGAAGCTTTATTTTTACTGCTGTGGCTTGTTCCCATCTGGCCACTGAGGAGCCCTTACAGCGAGCAGTGAACTTCCAGCAGTGCAGATAAACCATTAAGAAAAGTGAGAAAACAATAATCATCTGCTCTGATTTACTGCAAAAGAGAGAACTCCCAAATCCTCCCTGCTTTTCCCTGGCTGCAAAGCTGTGTCTCCTTTTCAGCCCCTCAGCCCGTGCTTAGGATGAGTGAAATGAAAGACGTACCACGGGACAAGGCTGATCCAGTCCAGGGGGGCCTGGTTCCCCCTTCTGTCCTTTGGCCCCTTTTCTCCCCGGTATTCCTCGTTCACCCTGTCAGCACAACAGGAAGATATCAGGGGCAAGGGGAAGGAACACCTTTGCTTCATATCTCACAGCACTTGCAGAGTCCCAGTCCTCACCCAGAGTAAGGACACTTGCAGTAGCGTCCTTGCACTAGTGTGACCTCAGCTGAGTAGTGGAATCACTGTGAAAATCTTCAGTAAAGCTGGGTGGAAATATTGTAATAGATAATTTTATAGCAGATTGACTAAATGAGCAATTTCTGCTGGAACCCAGGTTGGTATCTGACATCAGTGGGAGCAGCAGCTTCCAGCTACTGCCCTGTGCTCAGCTGGGCTCCTGGATCCACCTGGGTACCTCTTTGTTTAAAGGTCCCTGTAGCAAAACCTTTGACTTGGATCCATTTTCAAGGTCTATAAACCAAGACCAGTGATTCTGTGCAACCTGGAGCTGTCAGGCTGCTCCATTTTCCCACAATGGTCAGGCTGGGCTGGGGTGGGGACAGGCTTGCAAAAACCCTTCCGAGTGGGTAGGAATTAACTGCCTGTCCTGCCCTGTGCTGGGAATTTGCAAATCCTTGGGCTGCACAGAAGCCTTTCAGCAGTGGCTCCCAGGACAAGCAGTGCTGCCTGCCAAAAAGAGCAGCCTGTCCTGCCCCACAAGCATCAATACAGCCATAACCCACTCACCTTCTCGCCTCTTTCACTTCTCTCTCCTTTCTCTCCTCTGAGACCAGGGAAACCCTGTCACCACAGTTTTTAGGTGAAAAAGGAAAAAAAAAAAAAAATTTTGTAAGTTTAGTGTGTGAATGGCTCAGTTCAACGTGAGCCAACTCCAGCCATTAGCCTGTCCTGCTAAGGTGAAGAATGACATTTTCCTCCTGTTGATTTGGTATGTCAGCAATTTCTTGGAAAAATAGAGTGCTGCACCACACCCCAATACCATTACAGCTATTAGAAATTTCCATGTTGCTGAATCAAATACAAATATTCTCAGTTGGAAAGGGAAGCCCTGGCAGCACCTTTGGGTGAGCAGCTCCACTGTGCAGCCCAGCAATGGGCCTGAATTCAGCCCTTTCCTACAGCCATCACTCCATGGCCACTGTGTTTAGGGGGGAGCAGTGTACAGTGTTAGCTACAGATTTTCTCAGCAATCTCAAGTTATGCGTGTGTTACTTGTATTTCTACCACGAATAATCAATGGTTTCCATACTCACATCCAATCCTGGCTCCCCTGGCTTTCCCTGCAGAGGTAAAAATAAAAATTAAAATGTGCTGTGTTGAGCTTGGTGTTGCAGACAAACTTAGATCCAGTTGGTTTAACCTAGTGAGGGCATGGGCTCATCCAGGAGCCTCTGGGATAGGAGGCTGCTCCTTTGCCACCCACCAGGGTAGTGCTGGTCCAGCTCTGCAGTTCTGGCTGGACTCCCCCCAGCAGGATTTTACAGCTCCTATTTTAGGATTGCACCCCAATGTCCCTACTCCTCTCCCACACCCGTGATTACCTTTTCTCCTTTGGTACCAGGTAAACCAATGAGCCCTGGAGCACCTGGGAGACCCTTAAATTAAAAAGAAACAAAGCATTTGGATTGTTTCCTGTGAGACAGGTTTCTGTCAACAGCCGGAAATGAGATTTGGAAAAACAACTCACAGCAGGTCCGGTGTCACCTTGGTCCCCCTTCTCACCACTGTCACCTTTCTCTCCCTTTGCACCATCCAAACCCTGCAGAAATGAAATGGATCAGCCAAGGAGCCCTGGCAGCTCTGCCCAGGGCAGCCCCTCATGCACCCACCCCCTCCTACCCCTTCTCTGGGGTGCTCACACCCACACTGCTGGTGATGTTTTGCTCTTGACCATGTAAGAAAATAGCTGAAAATACAGGTTTTAAGCCTTTTGGTTTGGAAACTCTGGTTCTCACCAGCCCTCTGGACTCTCTGCTGGAGGAGAGGTTTGGATTGTAAATGCTTGGAAGGAGAAATGGCTTGTTTTCCAAAATGCCAACTGCTGAACAGCGTAACCAAGGGATGTGCTGTGACAACAGTGACAAAAACCTCAGTCTCCAGAGCTGACAGGCCTTTGTGAGCCTGTAAATAATGCACTAGCAGCTGGGAAACTGGGTGACATTTAATTTATTGACTTACTTTAGGCCCCTGGATTCCTGGAGGACCCTGTGGGAAAGAGAGTGGTGCATTTGAAAAAAAACCCAGAATTTAAAAACATACCCTAAACTTTCCTTCCCAAACCATTTCTTGCTCAAGTTACAGGCTGACAATGGTCAAATACTTATTTTCAAGGCAGGTGGCAGTTTATTTTGTTCTTCAATATCAAATCAGGGGGCAGGGGAACTGGAAAGGAGCATTGTGTGTAACAAGGGACAATAAAGCTCTGCAACACAAGCTCTGGGGACTGAGAGCCCCCAGAAGCTTTGCTGAAGAAAGTGACAGGAAGCTCTGGGGGTGGCATTGTGCCAGCACAGCCCTCCACACCTGGGCAGGGCTGGGACACCTCCCAGGCTGTGAATGCCATCTGAAATGCCACCAGCTTTTGAAGCATGGTCTCTCAAGGTGAATCTTGGACCCAGCAGAGGCATCCCAGCCTTCCCAATGTTCTTGACAGCTCCTTTTGGAGCATTGTAGGCACCAAACCCCTTTGATGTCTCCATCAGAAATGCTCTGTGTGTTCATCACCACCTGCATCCTCTCCCAGTGCAGCTGATGGCAGAAAACTTCATGATTTGGGTGAATTTAGGGGAATACGGACACTGTCATGGTGGGGAACAGATTTTCCATCCCACAAGATCTTATCTTTTCTCCCAAGGAACAACTTGGATTTTTGCAAAATGAGCCATAAACTCTGATGTACTCTCCTAAATGGGGTGTTTTAATTTCTCCAAAGACAGATCAGACTGTAGCACTTCCCTGATTTTTTTCCCCAGATTCAAGACAGCCCACAAGGATTAAACAGAACAAACCACCCTCGTCCTTGATCCCATACAATAACAAATCTGCAGGAATCACTTCCAGAGTCCTACCATAGGGCCAGGTAATCCAGGGGGTCCAGGCTCAGGTATGATCTGCAGAAGGGAATTAAACAGCACATTAACAAGGCTGTCAGAAGTGGAAACCTCACAAAGCCCAGATTCATGCTTTAATGACCAATTGATTACAACAGCAGCATCCAATATCTCAACCACCAATACAAAATCTAAAGTAACTTCGTAGTGCTAAGTGTGTGAACTGCTCTTCCCTAAGGAATAAACCTCATTTAGACACGTGTAGAACACAGTTGGGTTTTGCTGATGGATATGGGACAGGTGGGTGTATCCTGCACCCTCAACTTTGCCTGATCCTGTGTCATGAAAGAGACTTTATGTTGCCAAGATCTTACATGATTATTCTGCAGACATGGTGACCCAGTGTCTCCTTTTTCTCCTTTGTCTCCTTTTGGCCCTTCTGCACCCTGAAAGATAAAAATGTAACACTGACGTGATGCATCTTCCAGGAAAGCAAATGTGAGGCAAAAATAGGTTTGTCTCCCTCTAAACACCAGCCTTGGCTCAAGCCATGCTCCTGGTCTTCTCCAGGGGACTTTGAAGAAATATTTTCTCCTCCTTGATACGTTCTGAATAAGCTGATTAGAAATGGAAATTCAAAGCTCCCACATTCACCAGCTCCACAGTAATGTGGTGTGGAGAGGTCATTGCTTAGATCAGCCAACCCAGCCCCATTCTGAGCATTTGCAGAAATCAGTGCATTAAAGAATCAAGAGCAGAGGGACAGGGACAGCCAAAGGGACGTACCGGGGGACCTGCTGAGCCCATTTCTCCTGTTTCTCCTTTCTGCCCCATGGTCCCCGTGCTGCCCTGGTCACCCTTTGCTCCTTTGGGACCCTGCAAGTTGAGAGAATACAACATGTTCAGGAGAAAACTCTTAAAATAACCCCCCACAACAGCCACTTCTGCCTTTCTGCTGTTTCCCTCAGCATTGCGAGCTCATGAGAACATGTTTTAACATTCAACCTCACAGATGCCAATGTTGAGGGCGCAGCAGAATTTGGCTGAGCTGCAGGAGGGACTGCAGCCATTTGGGGTTGGGAAGGTTTACAAAAAGATTTGAGACAGCATCTGATGAACTGCTTGTGAAAGGAGCCCCTTTAGCTCGGCAGACACGGCCATGAGCAGCATGGGCACGCTCAGAGCAGAGCAGGCTGCAGGCAGAGGGCCATCAATTCAGGGAGTCACAGCTGCCCCTGCACAGCAGAGCTCACTCCTGGCATGCTGCATTTGCTTTTCAGACACACAGGGAGCTTCCTTTTCATTTGGCTCCTGGCAAGGCCTCGCTCGATCCAGCCGTGCCTCACTCACCTTTTCACCATCCATTCCAGGTGGACCTGGCAAGCCCAGCTCTCCCTGGAGGGAGACAAAGAAAGGGGAGCCCATGGTAAATTAAATTAAGGATTCATCCTGGGAAAGCATTGTGCAAGGAAATGAGTTATTCACACACAACTGTTGTGGTTATGGGCTTGCCACTGCGAGGCTTAGGACCAAGGAGGTGTCAGTGACCCACCAGCATCACCAGCTCATCTGAATATTGGCACAGAGACCTCAAAATGCACCAAAATCCTGTCCCATTCTATTCTTTCAAGAGATACTTTTCTACAAATGACATTCTTCTTTCTAAGAAACAGCTGGTTGCAGGTCTCAGACTACTGCTTGTGAAGCAGGAGGACCGCAGGGCCTGGGACACAGTGCTGGGACAGTGAACAGCACACAGGGAGGGTGGGAATGGGGTGGCTCAGCACAGCCACAGGACTGCCAGCACCTCTCACTTCAGCACCTCCAGCCACAGACAAATGGGGCAGTCTCAGAGGAGCTGGAATTTTGTCTGTCAGGTGTGGAACTGGGACTGGACTTGTATCTGGGACACCATCCTCTGGAAGAAGGCCAAAGAAGTCAACAAAACTTTGGTTTTTGTGTGAAAGCCACCATTTTTTCAGCCAGAGAAAGGGCTAAAAAGCACACACAGCCTCAAACTCCTCTGCAGGCACCTTCAAGTGCCTTATTTTGGCTTGCAAGACTCTTCATGGAGAGCTACTAATGACCATGTCGCTTGGCAGAGGTCAGGCTCACCTTGGGACCTGGAGTGCCTTGGGGGCCCGGTGGCCCTGGGGGACCTGGTGGACCCTGAAACAGAGCAAACAAAACAGCCTTGATGATGACTGGTGTGGACATGGCACGCTGTCCTCGTGCTGTGGGGATGAGCAGTTCCCAGCCACCATCTGCCAGAGCCCCTCAGGTGAGTGGGACTGCCTGAGCACCGAGGTGAGCTCGGCTGGCACGGGGTGCCTGAGGTGCCTCTGCCACAGAGCTGTTCATGCAGAACAGAGCACAGTGGGAGCAAGTCAGGTGTACAGCTGCAAAGACAAGGGCTAACAGGCAAAATGCCTTTAGTTGGAGGTGGGACCCCAGTCTGATGGTCTCTTTGCATCCTGCCTGCTCCAGGCAGCCAGCCCGGGCAGCAGCGTCATGCTGAAAACAGGGTCAGCCAGCCAGCAATTAAAGAGGGGAAAAATGGAGTTTGTGTGAGTACTAACAACAGGAAAACCATGCACACTTGAAAAAGTTATTTTTCCTGGGCACTGCTGGATGCAAAGACCACAAACCACCTTGAGATGAACAAATATTTTCCAACTTGCAAATTATTTCGAGCAGCAGAATTTGTGGTCTTGCTCAGATGAAAGCCAAACCAGTATCATATCCTGGAGCACCTTTCCCCATGGCTGCTCACTCAAATGCTGTTACCCTTAGTCACACTGGAAGCCTTTCCAGAGCCTTGTACTTGAGACAGGTCAGTGCACAAACACTGCAAACAACGAGTAAGCAGGAAAACAGCAAAGTTAGTGAGGTTCAGTGATGTGCCCCTCAGCAGTCTGCATGCAGAACAAGGGACAAGGTCTGGGTCCAGCAGATGAAGCCTCCAGACATTTGATGGAGCCTCTCCAACCACTGCACTCCACTCCTGAAGCTGCGTGCCACGCAGACATCTGGCAAACGGAAATTACCAGCACTTTGTGTATCCCTGCAGCCTGTTATAAAACAATTAGGAGGGTTCTCAAATATGTCTGTACTTAAGTATTTATTCTATTCAGCTTATTTCATCCCAATGAAAAGGTCAGGGCACTGTTCAGTTGGGCACGTTAAGGCTCAGGTGCCGCTCCCTTCCTCCCACATCCCAACTGCTGCCTTCGAGCTCCACCACCGATTTTTGCTGCTGCACCCTCAACATCCTCAGCCCCCAGATGCAATCAGCTCCTTCTTCCCTCCCAACCAGCTCTGTGCCAAGACAGAAATCTCAGGAGATACGGGACAAGGGTGGACACATTGTCACAGTGTCACGGCGGCAGAGCTTGGCCGATTTCAGTCCTTTCCCTTGGGCTCACCTTGAGCGCATCCAGGATCCGGCCGTCGTAGTCGATGACCACGGTGTCTCCCTGCTCCCCTTTCAGCCCAGGGGGACCCTGCAGGCAGGGATGAATCCTGTTTAATCCTACAGCATGGAGAGGTGGCGGCTATGAAAGCAAAGACCTGACACGCAGCGTTTGGGGGTTATTGCCTTACAACCACCATGGATTTAACCATCCTTAGTCTGACAGCTGGAACTGTCAAACCTCAAAAGGCCATCAATTTATGTAATGGAGAAGAGCATAAAAATCCTCATTTGATTACCCCTATTCCCAGCTTCCCTCATGCAGAAAAAAGGGTCACAGAATGGTCATGAGTATAAGAAAATTGGACTTGACTGATTTCCCATGCCACCATTCAGTACCTGTGCAATCATTTGTTTAAATATGCACCATTTCTATTTTCTGACACTGAATAGATCCTGAAGCAATTCATCCACATACTATGCAGAAAGAGGTGGTGAGGAACAGTTAAGGTTGAGAAAAATACACAGCTCCCAAATGAAATCCTGAACATCCATACCCGGGGTCCAATGGAGCCAATTCCTCCCTTCTCACCAGGTTCACCCTGAAAATCCAAAATCACATTTTTTTTCAATGAGACCAAAGAAAATATAAAATATCTATCCCAAAAATACTGTACCCACCCAAAAAGATATGCTTTAGATTAAGAAAAATTATGACACCAACAGGGGACTGCTTTTCCTAGTAGAAAATAGATTTGACCTGAGAGCGAATATATTTATCAAAAAACAGTGTTGGTGTAACAACAAGAGGAGTAAGAGGAGGTCTCGTTGCAGGGGGAGTGGAGTGGCCAGCTCAGGGCTCAGCTCCCTGTATGGGCTGTGCTGCCCTCCAGCTCCTCTCCCTGCTCCAAGTGTGCCGAGCTCCATCACTTTGTACTGGTTCCACATGGCTCCCTTTGCTTCAGGCTGAGTTTTGCATGTGGAAAGTTTCAGCTGCGATGTTTAAACCATTTTCAAGGGGGAATTTAAGGAAAAGTTCAGTGCCAAATTGTTCCTTTTTTTCTTCCTCTTTTTTATTTTTCCCTCCTCCACTTCTTTTTATATATATATTTTTTTAATTGAGGGTTTTAAAAAGCCATAGTATTCTCACAGTAATGACTTGAAATTCTGGTCAGGATTCAAAAGATGTCTCATTTGTCACACCCATGTTGATCCCCTTACTGACCAAATAAAAGCTCTCTAAAAAGTAAAAAATGGTAAAAATGTATAGGAAAAACCCCTAAATTCAATCAGCACTGCTACTGTGGTTCTAGAAGAAGTTTACTAAGGTCCACCAGAGCTCACTTTCTTCCTCACTGTCTTGCCCAAAAAGAGATCACGACTCTTTGATACAGAAAGTATTAGTGCATCCAGATCCTGCTGAATACAAATCAGCTGAGGGGGTAAATACCAGCCCACAGATGCTGTCCAGGTCTCCTCAGCACCACCCAACAAACCCAGGCTGTCTAATTGTCCCTCTCAGCAGCTTTGGAGGTCAGGAGGACAGGACAGCTCACAATTGCTTGGGGCTCTGAAGCAATTCCACAACCATCAATAACATGGGATCAAAATGTGATCAGAATTCTACAGTTTTTGAGGAAAAAGGCAATTCCGTGGAAAATGTGCACATAGATGACTTACAAGCTCTTATACTGATCTCTGCTTGAACCCAGCTTTCATCAAATCACCAGGAAAAGTTCAAACACTTCTCACTCATTTTGTGTCAGTTTTGGCACTTTATGAGACTTTTAGAAGGCAAAGGCCCAAAACAGCTCCTGAGCTGGAAGCCTCTGCCTCAGCAGCATTGTGCCCAGAGTTCCAGCTTTTCCTTACCTTTAGTCCTGGGAAGCCATCTGTGCCATTATCTCCCTTGGGACCCACACTTCCTTTTTCTCCCTGAAAACAAAGCCATTTAGACAAATGCTGCACAGGGAGGATGGAGAAAAGATTTCTTCAGATTATCATTTTCTTGATTTATCTTCATTTTGCATACATGAGGGAGCGGAGCTCTGCTTTCAGCTGTGAAACCCCATCACCTTGCCCAGGTGCAAATGGGGAGTTTTTGAGATAAAAGTGAAACTTTCAGAATCAGCAGTTTGGCTGCGGGTGGTCTGTTCAGCCATGAAGCTGCATAGCCCAAAACCACAGCATAGAATAATAAATTCACAATGTTTTGTGTTGGAAGGAAGATCATCCAGCACCAGCCCCCTGCCATGGCAGGGACACCTTCCACTATCCCAGGTTGCTCCAAGCCCTGTCCAGCCTGACCTTGGACGCTTCCAGGATGGGGCAGCCACAGCTGCTCTGGGCACCCTGTGCCAGGTCCTCACCACCCTCACAGTTTTTTGATCTTTTTCCATACCAGAGGAGAAATGTGTCTCATTCTGCCCCAGCTGTGCTATGGTGCCAAAAACCAGACAGCAAAAGATGCTGCCCCACACATGTGCTAGATGGACACGGAGCAGAACGTACCTTAGGGCCCACAAGTCCTGGTTCCCCAGGGATCCCATCATCACCCTGATGGAACAAAATACAAAAAGTGAAATACACAGACTTTGTACACACTTAGTTGGTTCCAACACATCATTTTACCTCTCTGATTGTAGCACAAACACAAAACCCTCTCAGGTTTGCAGGCAACCAGGGAGAGCTGCAGCAAGGAGCACAGGAGGCTCCAGCAGGTCCCCTGCTCCCACCCAGCCCTGCCTCTGCCTCCCCTGCTCCTGGGAAGGTGGATGAGCATCTTCCAGAATTTGCTTACAGCAGGCCCTGCCAAAGGTCTTCTCCCACCTTTAGCAGAAATGAAACACTAAATACCTTAAGGCCTTTGGTGTCCCAAAGACCTCCTGTAGCTGCCACCCATCCTCATGGACTTCATCACAAGTCACCAACACCCTCTGCCAGGGGGAGGTTTTCTGTGCCTTGTTGTTCTCCTGGAGTAAAACCACTCCATGGATGCTGGTGAGATTAGTTTTACCAGCCAGTTATGAAATGTTTAAGCCAAATTCTGGCCTGACAAACACCCATGGCCACTCCTGTTTTGGGCCAAATCAGTAGGAGGGGAAGGCTGGGCCCTGTCAGTGCTTTGACTTCACTTAAAGGCAGTGATTTATCTACTTCTTGATGGAGAGCTTGGACATGTGAATCTCTCACAATTCAGTGCCACACCCAAGCAGCATTCCTGGCCCTCCAGAGGACATTTCCTATGGGACTGCAGTGCTGCTTGGTGATGCCCATCCCAGGAATTCCAAACCCATTCCCTGGGCAGAGAACATCCTCCAGGCACCTCTTGGTTCATTGAATTCTTGGAGAGAAAGGGCTCGAGACTGCTTTGCTTGGCATTTGCTGTTTTATTCTTTGTCTATTGGGCAGATGTGGCTGCAGCTTCTGGCTGGCTTGTAGAAATGAAAGCCAGGCTGCAGGCACAGCCATGCCCAGCCCCAGGATCCTGTGGGAGGGAAACTGAGGGAACACAGGGTTGGTGTGGACAGCCACGACCACAGCTTCTACACCAGTCTCTGGCAATGGTTTCCCCACCCAAGCACAGAGCAAAGCAAAGCGAAAAAATTAAATAAAAATAAATTAATTAATTTAAATCACCATTTTTACCTTTTTCCCCTGGACACCAGGCTCACCCTTCAACAGCAACATCAACAGAAGAGAAAGAAATGTAGGGACATGACAGAAAATAAGGCAAATTATGTGGATAACAAAAATTAATTGTAAAATTAAAAAACTTGGCTTGTGCTAATCATACTGATCCCCCCCCCCCACAAATGCAAGAAAGCACATTCCCACAGCACAGCAAATTGTAGCCCCCTGCAGAACCCTCCAACCCCATTTCCAGTTTTGAGCATGGGCAGTGGATGTGATGTTGAGGAAGTGACATATTCAGACATTTACACCCCAGTCAATACCTTGGAATTTCATTGCATTGGAATCTCAATGGGTTTCAATGCTTATTTTCATCCTCACCCCTCTTATGCAGCATTATTTCAAGAATTCATGTTAAAATTCGACAGATTATTACCCACCTTTGGTCCTGCAGGTCCTCTGGCACCCTGTTGAATATAAGAGTGATCAGTTTACTTCTTTGACAACAGAGTAAAACAGGATAAAAACATTTCTAAGAGTATTTTAATTCCAAGAAAAAAAAATTAAATAGATGTCAACTGCTCATATTCCCTTACAAATAGAGCTGTATTTGTTTTCTGTGCCCCCAGTAAATAATATCCTTCCTATGGTTCATGTATTTGATGTATAATAAACACTTTTTTATCCAATATAAACCTTAGCAATTTGGAGTTACAATGCCAGTTGGCTTCAGAGGGGCAGGAGTCAGGGTACAGGAGCACCACACCCCTCCAGAAGAGCCAAAGGGACACAAAACTGGCCTCTTTTCTCCCCAGGGCACAGGTAGCCCTGGACAAACATCCATTTTAGGGCACCTCTAATTCCATGAGGGGTTTTTATCCTCCATAAGCAGTGACACAAACCCCCTTGCTGCAGTGAGCTGAAGGGTGGTGAGTGCACAGTGGGGGTGAGGGGCACACACAGATGCTTCTGGGCAATACTGACCATGACTCCATCCTCTCCTGGTTCGCCTTTGAAACCCTGCAAAAAACAAAAACACCAACATTGAAGCTATTACCTCTCATTCTCCAAAATGCTCAGCAATAATTAGAATGTTCCACTGTCTTATTCTTTAGCCTATTTTTTTACTAAATAAATTGCCAGTGGTCTTCAGATTTGCAACAGGGCATCCAAAGGGTATGAAATGGGGAGATCTCCTGGCTCTGTGAGTTACAACCAGCACCTGCAAATACAACCCCAGGCCCAGCTCTTTGCTCCAAAACATGAGATGGAAGGTCCCCTCCTGCTCCTTGCCCCACACCCCAAGGCTTTGCTCCCTGAGCAGCCTCTGGAGCCCAGCTGTGGCTCAGGCTGGGGACTCAGTGGTGGTGGCAGCGCTGGGGAAGGGGACACCCTTCACCCTGCTGTCCCTCGTGGGTGGGAACTGCCTGGTCCGTGCTCGCTGCGCATCTCCCGTCCTTACAGGGGAGCCTGGAGGTCCTCTGGGGCCATCCTTTCCCGTGTCACCAGGAGGCCCCCGGGCACCTGGGGGTCCTGGCGGACCAGGGGGGCCCATGGCTCCATCTCGACCTTGATCACCCTGGAAGAAGTTCACACAGACATGGTGAGACGAAGCAGTGTTGGCAAGGGTTTGTCTCAGGGCGTCCACAACACATGCACTGCATCCCTGGGCCACAGCACCCTGGTCTCTCCTGTCCCAGGGAAATTTAACTGCACCTTCCCACTGTTTGACTTCCAGCTTTCCCAACTGCAGCTGGGAAAGATGAAAGTGAGCCAATTTATGCCATTTGGGTCTGGTTCCTCAACCAGGATTGTGCTTGACAGTGAGATTTAATCTGTTTAAGCTTTATCCAGTGATTGACTGCATAGAATCACCAACAGCATCCAGAGCAGCCCAGGCTCACAACATGCTGGCAGGGAGCATGCACACACTGCCATGCCTCAGTGCACCACACCAGAAAACCACACAAAAAAGTGGCAGTGCTTAAATTCATCCTCTACAGACAGCCACAGTCACACATGAACCTCCTGACCCGCTCACACCCTGCAGATTTTGGGTGCAGAGAACCGGCTGTGTCCCTGCGGGTCTGGTGGGTGCCATTCCCAAGGGGACCATCCTGTGGGGCTGGGAATCAGCTCCTGGCCCCCCACCAGCCAGCCCAGCCCAGCCCAGCCCCGGGGCCCAGCCCGGCCCATCCGCGGCTGCACAATGGGAAGGGCGGCTCGTAAATCTTTTAGCAACATCTGGGAGAGTCACCACCAGGCAGTCAGAGGGCTGGCTTTAATATGTGGTCCACCCTCAAATCAGGGACAAGTGTGGGATTTTTCACAAGTCCTTAAGTGACTTAGCAGCACAAGTCCCATGGCCTTTCAGCAAGATCTGGGCTCCTAAATCACTTGCATCCTTTTTTAAAAACCCAATTGCGAATGCTGAACACTGCAACCAATTATGTCAAGTTGAGTCTCACACTGAATTTTTCCTAATTACAATGTCCCATTTAGGGTTCAAGGATTTAGATTATTCTAGTTTTGATGCATTTTATTTTACAATACCAACACTAGGCTCCTAAATCACTTGCATCCTTTTTTAAAAACCCAATTGCGAATGCTGAACACTGCAACCAATTATGTCAAGTTGAGTCTCACACTGAATTTTTCCTAATTACAATGTCCCATTTAGGGTTCAAGGATTTAGATTATTCTAGTTTTGATGCATTTTCTTTTACAATACCAACACTGGGCTCCTAAATCTCTTGCATCCTTTTTTAAAAACCCAATTGCGAATGCTGAACACTGCAACCAATTATGTCGAGTCTCACACTGATTTTTTCCTAATTACAATGTCCTATTATTTAGAGTTCAAGGATTTAGATTACTCTAGTTTTGATGCATTTTCTTTTACAATACCAACACTGTTTATATCAAATTTACAGGACTTTGCTGCCTGATTCCCAAATCTCAAAAAGAACCAAATGCTAAAACCCATTAGTTTTATGCCCCTTTACTTTGCCAATGCCTACCTCTTAAATTCCAGAGGGATTTCAGTGAATATTACCAACAAGCACCTCTAAACACAGCCATGGTTGTTGCAATTTAAAATAGCCACAGTCAGCCAGAAAGAGAAAGCAAAAGCAGCTCAGTCACAGCAAACCAGGGGCAGCAGGTTTGGTGTCTACCTTGAGCACTCGCCGGCTAAAGACAAGCTGATCATTAGCCAGAAATCCATGATTGAGGTGGGGAAAAACCATCTATATCCAGGGAAAGAGGGAAGCAGAAGAAGAAAGAGCAGCAGTTGAAGATGAAAGCACAGCAGAAGAGCAAGTTTTAAAGGCTGTAGCAATATATAACTTTTTTTTTTTTTTTTTTTTTTTTTTTTTTTAATATCTGGTTGATACATTAGAAAGTAATGGTCTAGGTAGCCAACACTGGGGTTTAAGGTTCTGGGTACACTGGATCTTTGTAACAGGACACAGACTGAGGGAAACAATTATTTTTTCACTAGTTTACTGCACAATAGGACATTCAAAGCATCTGGGGCAAGGGTTCCCCTACTGCAGAATAAAGAGTATTATTCCAGTAAACCCCATAGGGGATGATATATCCCAGCATTTCCCTGAGACCAAATGCTGTATTTGTTTTCAGAGGCTCAAATGAATACTGATGTATTCCCAGCCTGCAAATTGCAGATAAATCTCCCAGATTTATATGATGCAAAAACAATGTATTTAGACTGTATCAGTAGTCATTCCTATTGTGTTTTAGCCTTTCCACTCATCTGTCTAGGGAGAAGCAGGAAGACATTTCCTTTCCCAGGACACCACGTGCATCTCCCTTTCCCCCATCCACCCATCCATAGGAGAATCAAGAATGTGGAGTGAGGCCACAAGAAGCTCTGTGGGAATGCACAACAAAGCCTCCAGGAGGGGTTTTGGAGGTTTCTGGGGAACAAACCGATTTTCCAAATTGCCAAAGAGCTTTTAAACCTTGCACACCAATAACAGATAACCTCAAACCTCAGTTTTGGGGGAAATAGTGCGCTGGCAAGGCCACCTCCTGCCCAGCCTCCCAGTACAGATATTTTAACACCATCATGTCAAGAAGAGAGGGGAAAAGTAAAGTCAGAAAAAAACGAATCAACCCCAGAAAATAAGCCTCTGTTTCAAGAATTTTTTTCAAGATGTAGAGAGGGGCTTTAAGCTCAACACTCAGTTAAACACAGCTACTTTTGGGAGGAACAGCACTGAAATACTGAGAAATCAAAATTAATGAGAACACAGACCTTGCACATAACCAAGTCCTCCAAATACTACAGAAACCACCAAAACGACTCTACTGAGAGCAAAGGGTTTTGTGGTAGACAGAAGGGACACAGTTCTGTGGCACATTATGTGCATAAAGTACAAAAGAACATAAAGTGGGATTTTTATAAAACCCCACAAAGCAAAACAGGAACTGAATTTTTTTCCTTGTCCCTCAGACTGGTGAGCATCATCCAAATAAGCACATTCCAATCCCAGCCCTATCTGTTTTAATGGAAAATAACAATTTGCATTTGCTCCCTGGCCAAACGCACCATATCCACTAAATCCTGCCATCACACGTTTAATTTTAAACAGCTTTTACAGATTTTACAGATGGGCCCATGAGAGGTGAACAGCCCTGAGGGATATGAAATAGAGAGACACCATCCCTGGTTCAGGAAACATCCAGGCTGTAGAGAGCCAGGCTCCAGAAGGGTTAAGAGTGATGGGGTAACATATTCCTGCTCCACAATTCCCAGAGCATCAGGTTGCAAGGCACTGGGCTAACAGGCCATTGGGTCTGATCCCATCTAGCAATGGAATATTGGAGCACAGAGACCTTGAACGCTGGTCATTTCCAGCTTTAGACTCCTCAACGTAGCCATTTCAACATAACACTCCAAAGTCAGCAAATAATAAAATAAAAGTATCCATAGGTGTCTGTGGACTGTCACAGAGAGCTCTGCAGGACGCTTCCTGTGCTGAGTTTTTATCTGCAGTGTGAGCTTGGCCAGCAGTTATAATTTTGCAGAAAATAAGGGAGCAAAAGCTCCTTTTGTCTGCACTGAGCTGCAGAGCTGGTTCAGCCAGGCCAGTGTTTGCCCCCCAGCAGCTCCAGGTGCAGGAGAGGCTGGAGCCATCTCCATCAGCTCTGGCCATGGGCAGCCGTGTGCCACAGGGGCCATGCAGACAGAGCAGTTCTCCCACCAGCTGAAGCTGATTTTCCCCCTCTGGAGAGCAAAGCTGGTGCTGCTGCCACAGGCACTGGCCCAGATGTGCAGGGATTCCTCAGCCCCACCATTTGTCTAAACATCTCATCTGTCAGCACAAACAGATCACCCAGATAAATTCATCAATCCAGAGCAGCTGGCCCAGTGCCAGCTCAGGAGCAAGCCAGGCTTACAAAACCAGTCTTTTCCAGGGGTGCAGCAATGTGTTTGATTGTGAGAGAGAAGCACAGGCACGAATATCAGGGCACAGCTGTCCCAACCGTGGCAGCATCTTGCTTCAACTCTCTCTATCCTCCCAAGAGCAGAGAGACCTGTTATTGATTTCTCCCTGTAAATACACTTCCATGCATTCTGTCAGTACATTTGGGCACATTTACTCCCCATCCTGAGCAGGTGAGGCTGCACAGCATCCTTCCTCATGCTGCTAACAACTAGGAGCATTCAGTGATGAGGACAACCCAAGGTCATCTCCTTCCTCAGCTTTCCAAAACCACCCTCCAGAATCTGCCACCAGGCACACTCCAACATGTAATAATCTCATGGTTTTGTCCACGCTGCTGGCAGGTGTTTATTACAGAAAGAGCAGCAGTGCAGACATGAGCAGATTCAGTAGCTAATCCCTAATTGCCATCACCTCACTCCCACCACAGGCAGTCTCTCCAAAGCCACTCCAAGGATTATTCTCTTATAATCCATCATTGCTAATGATAGTGTTTCAGTGCTCACTGACACACTCTATCCTCATTCCATCGCCCTTGGACATGACCATTTGCAAGGAAGAGAGCACTGGATACAGTCCTAGCTATTTATCTTCCCATTGATGCAGTCAGTTTTATTGACACATCTTTCAAAATCAGCTAAACAAAGCCACCATTGAAACTTGAGGAATAAGATAGATTAAATTCAGAAAAAAAAAAGTAATCTAGACCAGATGATATTACGAAGTTTTGCCTCCTACTCACAACCCTGAGTGTCTGGAGACATAAAGGGAACTATTTTCAAAGTCAGGCACCTGTTTTTAAGTCTACTTGTGTATGGTTCTGCCAGGCTTTTCTCTCTCTCTTTTCTCCCAAATTTTTTTGAGCCTTTTTGTCACTGTTCTGCAAAAAGTCATAAATAAATCAAAAACTGAAGCAAAACCTTGACAAATGCAGATCAGGACAAAATATGCCCCCAAAACCCAGCACATTTTTCTTGATAGATGAAAAGGAAGGACAAGTGTTACCTTGAGAACAGGTACCTTCCCTGCAGGTCCAGCCAGAGCCTGTCCCAGAGCATCCCCTGCAGCAGGAGGTGATTCCACAGCACCTGGCAGCACGGAGCCTTTGGAGTCTGAGCAGCACCTCCTCCAGCACTCCCGAGCTGCCAGCCCCAAAGTCACCCACAGCCCTGGCCAAGCAGTGAAAGCTCATGTCCCTGTGCTGCTGAATCTCCTCTTAAAGCCTGTTCTGAGGACGTGGGTGGGCCCTCCGGCAAAGAGGCCTTGCGCCGAGCCCCTCCTTCACCACACAGGCCAGGAATCGATCTGAGAAATTTTAGGGGCTCTCCGAGCCCCAGGGTGACATTTCCAAACACACCCAAGGCGGCTGGGAGCTGCTTCAGAATACGACACCAGCTTCATAGAGTGATTTTACAACCTCCAGGGGAAAAGAGAAAAATGTCTTTGAAGCATCTCTACTCAACATTAACCACTGAGGTCCAGGTTATGTTTCCAGCAATGACATCTAACCCAGGTCAGCCAACTCTTGAGTGCCAGCTCCAAATCCAGCCTCCTACAGTGACAGGTACTCCAGGATCCCAACACATCCCCACTATGGGGTTTTCAGCAGGTGCCCATAATCCACAGACAGCCACACCTCAGAAATACCTCTGCAAGAGAGCCCACACCTCCCATCTCATCCCCTACATGGGCCACATCCCCCTTGTGTCTTGTGGAGACCTATCCTGATTTACCTCAGTAAATCTGAACTTCATGTAGCTTCATGAGAGGAAATTTCATGAAATTCCATTAATTTCTGTATGCTATAGCCAAATGAGTTTCCCCCTCATCATATAGTTACTTTAAATCCTTTCTTTTCAGAGGCAGCCTGGATGTCCTCCTGCTCCCAGATGGGGAGCTCAGCAAGGGAGGAGGAATGTAGGAATGTTCCATCCTGCACAACTCTGTGCTGGACCTCTCCTCGGGACAGCAGACCCTACCCCACATCCTGGTGCTCTAATGCCAACAAATAAAGAGCACAGCCTCAAGAGACACTTCAAGAGAAACATGGAGTTTGTCTCTGGGACTGGAAAAAGAAATCAGGGGTGAGAAGGTTCAGTAGAAGCAAAACCCTCCATGAGGTACCCAAAGATCTTCAACTCCTTTTTCCTCATGGCCAAAGTTAGGAAAACCACCACCACAAAGAGCTCCAGAGGCAAAATTAAACATTTCCACAATTGTTACCGTACTGTTTGCAGCAAGGCTTTGTTTTGTGCAGTGACTAAATCCAACCAGATTTTAGAATAAACCAGTGTGCTGTGTCACTACTTACCCTTGGGCCAATGTCTCCTGCTTCCCCCTGCAAACCAGGAAAACAGCAAAGGGTCAGAGTTCAAATCTCAGCCCTGAAGGACGGAGCACAGGGTCAGCTTTATGCCCTGGTAGGCAATGAAGCAGATAATAAATCAGAAATAGCAGCTTGTTTCCAACTCTAAGGCTCTCCTAGCAACTGCTTATGTCCTTCACTTGTGAAAACTAACTTCACTTTCAGTAATGACCTCCTTTGGCTCCTCTGATTGCACGGGTGTCATGCAAACAGAGATGGAGCCCCGATATCTTGGAGGAATGGAGAGTTTTATACTCTCATCACCCTTAGTGGCTTACCAGAACCCTATAGCACAGATGAGTTTTAAGATCACACTTGTCCGCCCACCTTTTTTGCAAATTCTTCCTGCCCTCCTCTTCCTGGAGCTTTTCCAAGAGCAATGTGAGAACCCACTCTAACAGCTGGGTTATTGGGGCAACCTGAACTTGAAAGAATTACAGCAACAGGAGGATATATAGGAACTGCTTCCCCAAATCCACATGTTAATGCAGCCTTTACCTTTTCCCCTTTTGGTCCTGGAGGTCCCTGGAAACACATAAGAAGAATCCAAATTAAGGAACAGCAGAATCACCAATGCATATGACATTAAAACCAAGGAAATCACATTCATCAATTCACAAACCTGAGTCACATTCTCTATTATTTTAAGGAATATATGCTACTATTTTAAGTCCTGCAGTTCTTGAATGAGCAACACTTTACCAAAAAGCACCCAGGAGGTCCTGCCTGCTCCTGCCAGGAGAGAGTATGGAGAAGGACCAGAGCAAGGCAGCAGTGTGACAGCAGCTTGCCACCATGCGACTCTAAGTAGATGCAAAAGATATCTTGAGGTATTAAATCACTTGTATCATTACAGCAATTATACATCTGTTTGAAATAAACAAGGACAGGCTGCTTTCTTTGGCCTGTTGGCTGAAGGCATCGTTCATCTCCCCTCTGAGCAGCTGTCTGTGGGACAGGCAGAGGCACTGCAGCCCCAGAGAGAACCTAGAGCAGCACTTTGATGTGTGTGCTCTGCATTTGCCTTCCAGCACAGCCAAGTACCAAACCCTGGTGCCAATGCACCGTGTGTGCTGAAGTGGGACCCGGCGGGGGAAGGTCAGCAGAGAGGCCAGCAGCAGCAGCAGCTGCATCCCCCTGCAGCCTCCCTCCCACTGCTTTTCTCTGAGCAAGGCTGCCGGCCCCTTACTCTCATGGCAGAGATCATGAGCAGCCTGTTTGGAGTCTGGCTGTGTGATAAGTTTGCTTTGTCACTGAGATTTTCCCTGCCTGTCACTCGGGGTCTCACTCCTGCCCTGCAGTGGCACCCCAGCCTGGGGTGCAGGGCTGTGCTCTGGGGTCTGACTGCACTCCCAGCATGAGGTTTTGCTAATGAAACCAAGCCTTTCCTTCTTTTCTTGTCTAATGCTTTCTTTCTAGATTTTATTCACATTTGCTATCCTCAGGGTTGAGATAAAAGCCAACCACAGCAATGTATGGCTATAACAGCACACTCCCTAACTGGATGGAAATAAGTGTCTGGAGTAGCTTTTCAATTGCAAAGAATGAATGACTTTTACCCACTTTGAAATCCCACTTGGTTGAGGACCAGAATTTAAAAAGATTTCATATGGGCCCTCTAGTGAAGGTGGTGGAAGAAAATGGGGTTTGGAGATAAAATATGGAGCTGTGACCTTCTGTAGGAACCATTTGGTGGAAGGAATCAGAGCTGGCTAGGGTTCAATTAGCATAAAAATAAAAAAGTCTGCATTTCTGTAAAACAAGTAAGAAAAGAATGAAGCACCTGAATATCCAAAGGGCTTCCAAACTAAAATGAAGTCGAGAAAACAGCTCATAAATTAATCCAGTCTGTTCCAAAAAGTATTTCATGGACGCTGGGCACCCTCAAGCATTTCCCAGCTCAGGTCCTTCAGAGGAAAATGGAACCTGCTTTGGGATCAATTATTTTTATGGTATCACTCTGTAGTGCCAGAAGCACACAACCAAGATCACCGACTTTGCTCTTCAAATGTGCTACTGGAGCTTGTTCCCCAGATTTGGCCTGATGCCATCTGCAGTCTGTGCTCGCCCAGCTGGCGCAGGAGGGGAAGAGGCAGCTGAGATGAGCTGACAGGTAAAGAAAAGTTCACCTCCAGCTCTGCTGGCCAGCCCTGGCTCAGAATTCAAACTTGCATGGAATAATTTTCCCAAGTACAATTGTTCCTCCTAAAAGTTATATATGTAGCACTAAATGAGTAATAGTTGAGATATTGCCTATTTATTGTGGAGCAGCATGAACAGAGACATGTTATATCTGGCACTTAGTGCTACTTACTGGTTTGCCATCCAAGCCAAGCGGCCCCTGAAAAAGGAAGGAAAATAGAGTATTATTAAAAAAAAATTCAAAGAGCATTATCAAGGCGTGCTCTGAAAGAGACTCTACTTACTTAATCTTTGGCTATGATTCTATGATTTACCTACTCCTCCATCCATGCAATCCAGCAGGAAGGTTTCACAGAGGTACAGTAAGAGGCATCAATGTGCAGAGTGTGAAAGGAAGCGACAGGATTAGTGACAGGGGTAAGGTGACACTGCTCTGGCACTTCACCTGGGACTCCCTGAGGTGTTGAAAGTCAAAAACAGCAGCAGTAAAACATGCCTGATTTGGTTAAACTGGGCAGATCCATGAGTGATTCACATCAACCTTGGATCCGAACCATTTTTCCTAAAGCACTCAGTTATCCCAGTTCTTCCTCAGGTCTCCTGTTTCTAGGGTTGCTGTACCAACATGGAAAATGGTGAATTGCCCAGCATTTCTGGCACTTAAGCCCTTAATTAACACCAAACCACTGAATGTGTTGGGCCAAAGGAAACATTGCTTTTGATAAGGGATGTGGGGAGGAAGGAAGCACAGCTGCTGTAAGGCCAAAGCTGCCCCTGTCATCAGCTGGAGCTGGCACTTTTGGAGACAAAGTGACACACACCAGTTACTGTAAATCCACTGCCTGTGGCAAATGCAAGGGTTCCACCTGCAAAGCTGCACCTTGGGGTCAGCTCCTGCTCCCTCTTACACCTGCCCTGCACAGCCACACGTGTGGGACATGCACATCCTCCTCCCAACACGCTGGGATGAAACATCTCCCACTTACAGCCCTGTGAACCATGGGGATCTACCAAAGCTAAAGGGGTTTGGACTGTGGTACAGTGCTAAAGCACCGAAGTTCTCTGTATTTTTTAGGGAACTGATTGAATTAGTATTTTTTAGTTTATCTTATACCTGTGATAGGGAAATTGAGCAAAAGAGGCAAAGGGGGGTAAGAGGAGGCCAGCGGCTGCGTTAAAAAGAGCATCCTTGCAGGTCACAGCCATTGATAAAGAATAAATGGCTGTTGATAAGGAATAAATCAGTCCGCAATGGCTATGCTGATGGGGCCTGGAATATGAAACTCTGGGGAACAAAACTCTATTAGAAAAAAGAGGTAAATCCAGATGACCTGGGCAGATCATCAGCAGCTGAGTTACAAGGGCAGGGGGACCTGTGCAAGAGAAGTTCACTTGAAAATTAACAAGGATGTCTTTACACACATGAGATCTCTGAAGTGATCGAGCACAGGTTATATTCCTTATGTGATGTGTACTTTTTTCTTATAAGGAACCATCAGTACTCAACAGCCACAAAGTGGTCATGAAAAATATACGTAAAGTAGTTGTGTCTGTTAATGCAAAGGCTTGCAGGTCACCACCAAACTACCCTGACACCTCCTCCATACTTCATCTCACCTCAATTCTTTCAATTCTAAAGCTAGAAATGGCATCGGGTTCATAGAGCTTCTTTCCTGAAGCTATGATTTTTGAAGTGATTAATCTGAAGCTCCTGATGCAACTCCCTGACTTTCAGAGGATCAGACATGGGATCTGAGCACAGAACTGGCAGCACATTCAACTTCACAGAGGAGTAGAAGTCCCACAGTTATTATTTTTTTCAAATATAAAATGCCAGTTCTTCAGCTTTTAGCTATTCTTGTATCAGTCCACAAAGAGACATCCAGAAGCAAAAACAATGGCCTATTCAGAAGATGTTTGAGGGAAAGCATTTAATGCTTGGGAGAAACAATATCCATCAGGGTTCCAAAGGGGCTCTTGGCCAGCCACAGCACTGAATGGACAAGACTAACACAGACTTTTAAATGTCTTGTTAGTCTGGGCCAGAGATTTAATGGACTCTGCTCTACCTGCCCAGCCAAATGTCTGTGAGCAAGGCAGGGTTCCCAAGAGCAGCCAGGAGATTTCATGGGTTGAGCAGAGAGAACATCTGAAATCTGGGCTGCCTGACTTGGCTGCCTGCAAATCTCAGGAGTTCCCATGTGTTGAGATTGTTATTGTCTTTTATTTGAATTCTCCTCCATGTCATTTTAATTAAAGATTAAGCAATCTCTAATTTATTTGATAAACAAGGAATGGGGAAACAAGTAACCCTCTATTCCCCCACTAAAAACCAATCTCTATAGAAGTTTTCACTTTGAGAGGACAAAAATTACTTCTGCTTAACCAGCCAGGAAAAGTGTATGAAAAGGAGAGTTTTGTCCTTGGACATCCCAAGCAATAGAAAGCATTGCAGTGGCTTTAGGCTCTGCTTTCTGCCCAGGGAGTAATTTCACTTGTGCCTTCACTCACTCTTGATCTAAATCACACACAGAGATCACAATTCAGATAATTCATTACTCAATCAAGAGGGAATGAACTTTCTGCCTAGGACAAACCTAATGCTTCAAAACAAGATAGAGCGAAAATTCAACCAATTTCCCCCAAAACACAGTTCTGACTAAAACCATCACTGCACTGGCTAAGTGAGACAAAATCCTTCAAGGAAGAGCACACTGTTGGGGTCCCAGACAACCCTGGAGGCCCCTTCCAGCTGGTAACCAGCTCACATCTCATTTTCTGACCACACACCAGATGTGTTCAGTGCCTGGTCAAACCAGCTCTGTGGGATACCCTCCTCATTCGAAAAGAAAAATTGTTGCTGTCAGTTTTGCAAAGAAAATACATCTGCAACATCTGTCTGGAGCCCTCAGGTTGCTGGAGCAGGAGGAGCTGGATTAGTGGGGAGAGCTGGTGACACGGAGCAGAGGTGAGTGATAATTGCAATTTCACACCCTGGTTTCATCCCTCACAAAGAGTAACATAGGCACAGGTGTTCCTGTAGGAATAATGATCTGTGGTGATCCAATGGTGCATCCCCCTTTGCCATCACTGGGTGAGGACATCGCTTATAAATCTAATATATTTCATGGTACACATTGATGATCTATTATTTAATGATACATAATTATACCTTGATGCTGAGAATGCAGACAGGGGTCAGATAAGATGTCGAAGCTTGAGCACAGCTTGTTACTATACCACATAATCTTGATGCATGCCTTGGTTTTGACACACATTTCAACTTCAGAGTAAGGGGCTGCATTTTAAAACAAATTCTGATGTATTTTTCATTTTGTTTCACAGTACAAGCTCACAAGTCTTGAGACACAGCACCAAAATGCCACCTCTCATTGCAAAAATGAGATTCACACATTGCTGAGGTCAGCTGAAGGCTTGGGAACAATTCTGAGCTCACCCAAAAGGGATGATGTGGAGCTTGCAAGCTCTGGGTCACACACAAAAGCTCTTCCAATAAATAACAGGCACTTCCCATGTACATCACTCACCTCTGGCTCAGAGCAAGCCCAGGTGCCAGCCTGGCTACCCGGCCCTCTGCCATCCCCTCCAGTGCCCTCACTGCTGCTGGCAGGGATGGGCTTGCTCTTAAAGCGTTACAGGAATTTTAAGGGGGGGAAATACATAGTGAAAGCAAAGCCAGAGATTATTAAAAGGACAATCCTTCTGAGTTGGGAAATCTTCTCTGATGGTTATTTTTAATGTTTCCTGCTCTGCTAAAAATTAGCACAGGGTTCGGAAGGAACCCTGCAGTCAAATTTTGACAAATTCAAAGGGTTGTCTTTCCATCTCTGACTCTGCGGTTTCAAAAAAGGGTAGAATCTTATATTTAAACGAATGAACAAAAGAGCATGACAATATTTTAGCATCCCTGCAAAGGGCCCTGGGTCATCTGCAGCACAGGCAGGGAGCACGGACCATCCCTTCCTATAGGCCATGCTGTAAATCCTCACAGGCAGGACAGTGTCTGCTGGCCATGTGGTTCCTCAGCACATTTTTGTGTGAGAAGAAAGCTCTGGCAAAAGCTGTGGCCAAGCACACCCTGCCAGGCCTGTCACAAGGAAAGTGGAGGAAGGCAGCCAGGTTGCTGTGGCTGCTCCCAGCTTCCCAGCTGAAAGGAAAGGGAAGAAAAGGGACTGAGAAACAAAAAATGAACTGTGAGTCCTCTAAATAGCAGCTGAGAATCGCTGGCACTAACTGTGAAAAAACTGAGTCCAAGAGACTTGCTCTGGGATGTCACCTCATCCCCAGTTACTGCTGCTCCTCCTCCCTCCCCGAAGTCCTCAGTGCAGAAGGATCAGAAACTCTTACAAAATCACTAATTTCTACTCCATACAATACCACTGCTGCTGCACTAATAATTTGTCCTTTCAAATGCGTTTAAATGATTGCATTTAAATACAGTAATAATAATTTAATATGTTTAAGTACAACAATAATAATTATTTAATTTATTTTGTTTATTTTTATCATCACTATTTATAATGCTAAATTAATTTATTACTACATTTAAAAAATTGTGAAGAATATGAAATTGGTCATACAAGGAATTACCCCAAGCACACACCATTCACTGCTGTGAGCCTAGAAGTGTCCTGGGCAGGAGGTTCCTCCTTCATCAGCCCTGACTTCTGGGTCCCTGGTGTGAGACCCCAAAATCATAAGTCTGCAGCATTGGAAACATTCCTACCAGGAGCTGTCATGTTTAAGCATTATGATCATTTATATCACAACAGTTTCATGTTTAGCTTTATATATAGCATAGAGGGCCTCACTGCAGTGGGATGAGGTTGCTACACATGGGAACGGTGCTGCACTTAAAAATAAATATCATTTTTTAAGCAATAAACATGATTATAGACAAACCTTTATTAACAATGTTAACAATTTTCTTTTTCTTTGTTTGAAAAAAGCATATTTCAGTATGGAGCAAACCATGACTACATGCAAACTGAAAACCCATTTTCCATTACTAGATGATAGTTTTTGCATCGTTTTAAAAACCAAAAATCCAAAACCAAACAGCTTCTACGATTTTCTTACAAGCACTAAACAGCAACGTTGACGGTTCATTATTTTTTAATCCTTGCAAGACTAATTGTTTCCATTTGGAGACAATTTACACATGCAAGATGCATCGTG